GAGCAATATCCACCTGAAAATGAAGAAAAAAATCTTCAGAAATAGAGATTATTTTTTATGACTGGCCAGTGTGTTAGTAAGTTTATCCATTCTTCTTATTGTCTCTCACATTACTGTACATGCCCTCTGAGCTAGGACCATGTGTATATTGCACAACAAATCTGTGTTCTATCTTATTATCTTTTCATTGAATTTGTATTATACTTAAACATGTTTGCTAAGCCATCTTTCTATGTCTTTTTTTTTCCTTTGTGTAATTGATGTTGCACCGTACCAAAATGGACGATAAAAAAGTTTTTTTTTCTCCTAGACTGAACATATCTTTACATTATAACATCTTAGGTAGCTTTTCATAAATATTGCAAACTGCCAGTCTGCTTTTGTTTTCCTCTCAATCCCTAACGATAAGCACATATTGGCCAGAGAAGAAAGGAAATGAGCTGAGAAACTGGAAAATCAATAAGTCATCAGACAGGCAGACACATTTCCCCTCAGATGATAGCTATAAATTGTGACTGCAACAAGTTATGGGGCTCGATGTACACAGTGTGTCTATTTTTTTTTTCAATATTCATCATTTTTAGAGACAACAAAAATATACCTACTGACAAGCACTTGACTCACTTTTCACAACAAGTGAACCAGCTTTTATATTATGGTCAGGTACTAATTACAATACTTTGCTTTTATTTAGACAAAAATAACCCGATATATTATGTCTGAATTTGTTGAGTAAAATATTACTATATATTCTAATTTAAAAGCACCAGCCATGATGAAAGCCACTTCAAACAGCAACAAGAAATGTCACGTCTAACCAGCATGAGCCTGTCAAACCTATCCTTTCCGTATTCAATAAGCTTATTTATATCTTTTGTTCAGACATTCACAACTAAGCTCTTTATATAACCATAACGGCACAACCACAGAGAAACGAACCATAAAAAATTGAACAGATGGGACTTAGATTATTTGGACAGAGTTAAACTTCTTTATGTTTAACTTGGCCCACATTTTTACCTTATATAAAACAGCGTCTAATAAATTTCAAGAAAAAGAGGCACAGTGTTTGGCAGTTACTGGGCTAAAGGTGCCTAACAGATGGCTACATATGACCTAGAATGATGTAACTGATCAGAATACACACAATATCAAAAAGTAATACACCATGATAGAAAAAAAGGAGTTCAGGGTAAAATGTTTATCTCATTTTCAACTGCCCCCGAGACTCTAATCTCAAAGAAAACAGCATATAATAATATTTCCACCAGGCTTTCTGAGTACCATAATTCCATGCTCTATCAAATTCAACTATTTCACTGCCTGGTTTAATATTTATGAGCAGGATGGTAAGCAAAAAAATAATAGTTCATTGAAAAAAAAACGTGGGAATTTTTTTCTCAGCAGAATACATCCTGCTTCTAGCTCCAACTCAAGTGGTCAAATGAACTGGATGAAGCTACTCAGTACAGGAAGTGACATACTTCCCTATTCGCATGAAAATAGATTGTCCGTTTTCCAAGACTTAAGAGAAAAGGTCCTGATTAGACATATACTGACAGAAACCTTATCAAAGTAAAGGGTACAATACCATATATTCTGACATAATGATTTTGCTCTGCTGATTCATTTTTTTATTTAGGTGGCCTTTTTAAACATCTAAAGATAAGTTATGCAGGTGAAATAAGCAGTGAAGGACACATGAGGTAAATAATACAGGTGAGTGAGCTTTGCTTTAGTCATATGGTAAAATGACCTCTGTTCTCTCTCACTGACATAAATACACTGCGTGCATAGTACACTACAGTCAAAACATCAAGAAGTGGATCTTGATGGATCAAATTCATTCCACTTCATGTATCAAGGTGAGTTTATTCAAATTAAATTAAGTTCAAGTCTACAGGTATGTTCTTACCTGTGATACAGGAGTTCAGTTGCTGGTGTTTAATATTAAATCTTGCCACTACAAATACCACCTCACGTATGTATATACATTTATATACACATTGTCAGATCATTTATACAGTGTGTCTGTCTGGTGTATCATACATTTTACACAAATGCTGTGCCCAAGGGGTTCAGTTGGAGGGGGTTCAAAAGAACTGTCATTTTTGTCAGATATGGTGCACTCTGAATCAAAATTTGATCTACATTCTTTGGTATTTCTTAGGTTAGGTCAATGAAGGGGATAAAAAAGGTCCAAATTGTCTAAAAAAAGAAATACCCCCCCCCCCCCCCCCTTTAAAATTGTTCACTACAGGCCTGTGTTTCAGTGGTTTTTACCAGTTCAGGTAAGAATATACTGGATATATGGCCATGACTGGTTAATGGGGCCCCGGTTAATACACCCTTATCAGCAGATCTAAAACATATTCATGATATCTTCACCGAGATTAATTGGGGTCCCTTGAACTATGATATACATTTTTATTGACTCTGTTCAAAAACAGTATTACCAGACATAAATTTCTGATTTTTCCACAAAGCAACCAAAGGTGGATACCATTTTTCATAAAAGGAAAATGTAGAACTTCAATATACTCTGTTTTATTCTAAACAACATTCATACCAATATTGGTATTTAAAAAAAACTGCTGCTGACAGCTATACAATATTCATTTAATGTAAAAATAGCAGCTGTTTTTAAGGCATGGAACTTGATCTGATGAAGTGTTCACCAGGCCTCAACACATGTCACTTACTGCAAGCTTTATCATGCTAAATGGTCATTAACAAGAAGGCAAAGAGCAATGTTTAAATTGCTATAACAATTATCTATAAATGCCCTTGTATAGAATCTGTAGAAACCATACTTGGCTTTCCCAGTTGCCTTTGTGGCTAGTTGATGAAATCAGTTATGTAAAAAGTTCATCTAAATTCCCTAGTGCCTGCTCACAAGCTTTTGTAATTAGCTAATTTAGGAGTAATGTACTATTTGATCAGAGGAATCAGCAGCCTGTGACAACATTTAACATTTAGGTACCAACTTAGGTAAGTCAAGCCTGCCTCTTGATGAACTTGGTGAGTCTGTACAGTACCAAAATTTCCATAAGATTATTAGAATTTTATCTCTACTTTATATATATATATATATATATATATATATATATATATATATATATATATATATATATATATATATATATATATATATATATATATATATATATTAAAGATGAACCAAATATCAATAACTTCTGTTTGTTTGTTTGCAGGTAAAGGAAGTAACATTTACTGCTTTTCACCAAGTCAACACACCGCCTGCTGTGATATATGACATTACTAAATGAAGGAGAAACTTTCCTGAGGAAATACCAAGCATATATGCCAGACAACAAGATGCTAGCACTTCAGGATGACCCCGAAGATTTTTAAGATAAAATATTAAATTTTTTGTAAAAGATTTTATCATCAAGCGGTATAACATGTCTGCTTCAGCACAAGCTTTCAATTCACCAGATTGCCAACAAAGAGAACACAATATGTCTGCTTTGTCTGGTGTTCAGTGGAGAAACAAATGTCTGGATGGAGAAGTTGGACTGATTCCCGATGTTATTTCATACTGGGACACTCCCTCCAAGGTAATACTTTGTATTTCAATGGCAATTTTTATTGCCCTGACAATCACTGGAAACATCCTGGTTCTAACAGTCATTATCAAAAATAAACATATGCAGACTAAGACCAATGCATTCATTGCTAACCTAGCTGTAGCAGACCTACTGGTAGCCATTGTTGACATGCCTATGGCTCTCATCACTGTCATTGAGGGGGACTGGGTGTTTGGGGACACTCTGTGTGTTCTCAATGGATTCACTGTGGTATTCTTCCTCACCGTCTCCGTCCACACGCTGATGTACATAGCAGTATTTAAATATATCACCATCACCCATCCAATGAGCAAAGTGTTGACTAAGACTCGGGTGGGGTACATGATAGCTGCCCCTTGGATCTGGGGTCTGATTGCTTCCTCCATGGGGGCCTTCTGGCTCTCAGACTTCACATTCAAACCTGGCGCCACCCAGTGTGGGCCAAACTACCCTACAGAGGCCCCAGAACATGCATATGCATTCATCATCATTTTCAGCTGTTATTTTGTACCTATCATTGTGATGGTGGGCTCATACATCAGTATATTTATCCAGATCAGGGCCCATCTGTCCAGGATGAAAGCCAACACAACCCAGGACCATGATGTGATTGTAAGTCAGGAGAAACAAATGACAGTGACTTTACTGATCATGATTATCGTGTTCTTTGTTTGCTGGACCCCATTCATGGTCTACTGTATCTTTGCCTCGGCTGTGGAAGACAAGACAACCATTCCACATGAGTTGCACGCTCTGGTAAGATGGGATTTACTTGTTTTCACAAAGTTAGTCTGTTTATTAACTTTCTATTTTATAAATTAAATATTGAAACAAGAGAAAGAATAATTCAAATATTATAGAAAATCAATGTGAATGAATGTGTGATTTGACTTGACAACCAAAAAGTTAATGTTGCAAGTTATTTTATTAAAACTGAAATTTGGAGAAAAAAGTAATTTACAAGATATCTCTATTATCCTATTTGTCACGCTATGGAAGGTGGATCATTGTAGCTCTCTTCCCAATGTAATATAAAAACAGTTACTATTAAATATATTCTTTAATTCCTACAACATTTGTATCTACTTTTCCAGGGCTACTGGCTGGGCTACATGAACAGTGTGTGTAATCCCATCATCTACGCTCTGAGGGTGCCAAAGTTCCAAGATGGCTACCAAAAATTATTCTACATTTGCAAGGTACAGAAAAACCTTCCCATCAATAATGAGAAGAGCAGATCACATTCTGGGTCAGAAATTCACATGCTCCAAGCTATCTCTACAACAGAACTTAACTTGAAAAAATCAAAGTCTGTTTTTGTATGAGGATTAATGCTGGCAAAAACATTACACACAGCTGAAATGGATAAATTTTAAATCAGTATTTGCCCTGAGACACATCAGATCATTGTATATCAAAAACATAAAATGATAGCAGATGGAGAAGTTCCTCCTTTATGTGTTTGAGTCCCTAAACCTTCTGTTTAGTCCATCCTATTTGTTAAATATGCCATAGAGTGGTGCAATGCCTAAATATTGACTTAAGCTATTTGAAGCATATCATTTTGTCCAAAAAGAATCTCTAAAAATATTCAGTATACCCATTAATGTACATACACAATAAAAATAAAATTCTAGATGTTATAATTTATCTCTTTTTTTTCTCTTTTTTTTAAACTTAATTTTTCATCACTTATGCAAGCAGCAAATACAAAGCATATGCATTCATAGTGCTACCAAGCTGTGTTAAGACAATCACATTAGTCAAACTAGAAATCTCTTCAAACATTTTCTGACAAAAAGTATATTTATCTGTGGCAGTACAGTAGCGTATCATCCTTGAGGCAATGACAATTGTTGTGAGTAAAATTCTTATCACTTTCATTTAGAGAAGTATTTTATCAGCCGTATTATGCAAATTGAAGTAGTAATTTTTTCCACAATTAACAGCTACTATTGAAAATGCTGTAAATATTTCAACTTCAATCTAGAGAATGGGGATATCAAGATAAAAGAAAAAAAATCACTGCCTTATTACTTCTATACAAACAAGCTGTATTTAATTTACCTGTGGCAAAACAGTAGTTCCATGCCATCCTGGACTGTCCTCAGGTGGTGGTAAAATTTGGGCTGCATTAATCTTAGCAGTTCACGGAGGTACTCCTGTAACACATACACACTTATAGATCTACACTTTGCACTGCAGATTATTTCTGAGCCTGGGCCATGAGCAGAACTATCTTTGTTATGAAATGATTAATTATTATTTTGTTTGATATGTATTATTACAGAATTACACTTTAAAACGGTAGGAATTGATCCTATTGATGCTTAAAATTTACTTAATTTAAAATGCATTGCGTCTACACATTAGCTTCACAAAGAAGATATACTGCAGACCAGAAATAGAATCAAACAGATAAGCTTTATCCACATCTGGACATTTAAGTGGAGTGAAAACATAGCCAAAACACGAAAAAGATTTATGCATTCGGTTATGCAACAGACTACAGCATGCATTAACTTACCAGCTGTTTATCCATGTCGACATCCTTTGGCGAGCTGACAAATATTGTCTTCTGCATCAGTCCCTCAAAGCACCAGTAGGCGTCTGCCTCATGCTGGACCTCAGCCAACACTGGGGCTAGCAGGTCAGACATTCCCTGGGTGTAGCCCATCTTAGGGTGCTGGACAGCATAGTTCAGGAGGATAGATCTGCGGAGACGAGTTTTCAGTGTGAGAGATTTGAAAGATTTCAACAATTTGAACAATGTTTATCATTGCTGCTTGTTCCGTATCAGTTGTGTAAAAAAAATTTGAAGAACTGTGGTGAATACAAACAAGGTCTTTGTTTAACAAAATTAAAGCCTATAATCTTTAGCTGTCTAAAATCAGAATCTGCCGACCAAAGCTTGCTAAGGTATATCAAACTTAAGTGTATCACAGAAAAATTCTAGCCCACTGACATTTTATTGTGAAAAAGGAGTGTGTCATATTCCAAGCACCAATAAAGAATTGCCTAACCTCTCTAAACAAGGTTTTAACAACTGGAGGATAAACTGTGGAAGAATTAAGCTGAACATCTTTATTAGATTCATCAAAAGCCTCAGTTCAGAAAACAAAATTCAGCTAATTTAAAAAAGCCTAGGCTCACAATATATATATGAAAGAAATAAAAGTGCACTTTATTTCATGCATGCTGCACTATTTTCTTACTTCAAGACATCAATGTTGGGATTATCTTCTCCCATGAAGTATGGATTGCTGCGGTCAGTTCTCACTACATCTTTCTCTACAGTACACTGAACGCCTCGCCAGAACTGCTCCTGCTCAGCCGGGGTCATAGACTCTCTGGAATATTGATGCCAGGATAGTTTAATAGTTCATATGTCAAGGATTATAAGTGAGAACATATGTGTGCATGCATGTATGTATGCTTGTGAGCATGCATGCGTGTGTTAATGTTTGAGTTTTTAATAAAAAGAAGAAATTTTTGAGCAAAGACATATATAGTGCAATGAATAACTTGAGCACAATGACTACCTTTTCTTCCTGATTCCCTGGTATTCTATGTACTTGTCATTTCTGATGTGTTCCCGCTCATCGAAAGTGGAATCAAAAGGATAAAACTGCAGCAGGAATGGCCAGGCTTCATGGCGCAATGCTGGGTCAAGACCTCCAAAGAATATTACCTAGAATAAACATCAGATGCTTTTATGTCATAATCACTTCACATTATGACAGGTTCAGAGAAATCAAAATTTTATAGAAATTAAATGACATAATTGACCAAAAATCATAACCAAAAATTAACCAAAGATAAGACCAAGTTTACAACTTGGCAAAATTGGTTGGTGCAGCTTGTTATTTTTCATCTGTTATTATCATTTTTCGAGTCATAAGGAACTATGAACAATATGACTATGTAAGGTCCATTTCACATAGAGAAGTACAGCTTTCTGTATGGCACTGTTTGAGAGATTGACAACTGAAGCCTGGCTATAACGTCATAGAGTCCACTCAATGGAGTTCCTGTGATTGACTTGGCCAGTTAACTGATTAATTATGATTGGTATATTAGAGCTTGTGAAAAAGAATAAACACTCCCCACCTCCATCACAGCGCAACTACTACTACTACAAAAAAAAAAAAAAAACTTGAGCACTCTGTGTGAAAAGGGTCAAAGATGGTCAAAATGGTCAGAGTGCTGGTCTGCTTGTTATGCCTGACCTTCCTGAGCTGGTAGTCATCCACAATCTGACCCGCCTCTGCCATGTGTTGTTTCCAGGTGTCTTCATTCAGCACTCCGTATACGCCCTCCTCTGGGTGACACTCCTCAGTGTCCAGCTCTGGTCTCATCACAGAGAACTGCTTGATCTGACCATAGACATCCTTCTTACCCTGAAAGGCAAAATATTTTCTTTGTCACCTTAAGCATTAAGTATTTTTTATCGTTTTATTTATATTCATCTTATTTCAGACATTATTTCATTCTGCTTATTTACTTGCAATATAACTGGCAGATTTTTTTTTTCATTTTTATCAAAAAAGGATAAATGTTGCACTTTAATCTTACAATTTTAATATCTTTCACTTATTCACTTTTATACATCATTGTAAGTACTGCAAGACTTAACTTGATCATTTTAAGTGAGACTTTGACCTGCAGTATTCCCTAATGACACTCAATGCTAAGTTACCTAATATTAAAGGGATAATAACTCTTCGTTTTAGCCAAAAAATGAATTTTCCTAGAGTAAACAACAATTTTCACATACTTACCAATGGTTAATGAATCCATTTTAACATTCGAAATTAGTCCCTGTTTTTTTTTTTTTTTTTTTTTTTTTTTTTTTTTTTTTTTTTTTTATAAAAAGTTTGTTTTTTTTTTTTTATAATCTCTTAAGAGATTATAACAGAGTATAGCCATCAATGGAGATCATGCGGTCTAAAGACAAGGTCAGATATCAGAATAATAGCTATAACTGCCGTTTTTGTGGTACAACAGAATATATTATATTTCTATGAGTTGTTCACAATGTTTTTATTGTGAAATATAGATCTCATACGAAGAGTTATTATCCCTTAACCAATCTTTTGTTCAAAGAAATCAATAATTTCCCACATATCTTATAATTTCATACAAGACTTAGCACCTTTCTTCACACTCTTTAAAGCACAAAAGGGAGGAAACCAGAACAAATCCCTGACAATACCATTCTATTATTACCTTGTCCTTCTTCTCTCTGAAAAGATTCCAGTCTTCCAGAACTTCAGCCAGTTTGTCCAGACCTCCATGATGGAAGTGGAGGATCTTGTACTGGCTCTCTCTACTGGCTATCACAAACTGACCACTGGTGCACGTGTCCTCATTGTAAAACAGACGTAAAGACCGCATCTGACCTGGAGTGTTGAAAACAAAATTAATTTTTTCCTTTAAAATCCATGATTTTTTTTTTTTTTTTTTGGTATAAATTAATGATATTCTTTCAGTTTTATTTTTTCTTAAGCTGATTATAACATACATTTTTATTCAGGTAAAGTACTACAGATTTCAGTGAATGATTTTTGTGCAATTGTGCTGTATTTTATTTAAAAATACATGAGTATACATATCTAGAGCATTGTGCAGGGGTATTTCAAAGGCAGCACCTAGCAGTATAAGCAAAAACTCATCTAAAAAAGATTGCAAATCATTTGGGAAAGTTTTAGCCAGTGACACCTAGTAGAAAATGTTGTGAGCTATAGCTTGACTAACTTTCAGAATTATTATACAGTAGAGATAAATTTAAACTTTTGTGAATAAGCCCAATATCTCACCTAAATCTACAGAGAATACCCCACACATCTGGTCTCTGATACTCTTAGCTGCCACTGGACTCTTGGTGCTGTCTGCCTTGGTATAGGTGACAGAATTCTCAGGAAACGTTAAATTATATGAGACTGCAAAAGATTCAGGGTTGCCCTCCATGACAGGTGGGTATTTCATGTCTGCTGAAGGTGTGCTATGTGAGGAATCTATGTCCGAGTCGTAGGGTGTGGGAGGTCTAGAATCAGGGCCGGAGGTAGTGGTGGAAGAGGAGGAGGAAGAGGATCGAGGAATGGTAGTAATATTGATATCAGGGGGCTGATACTCTGACTCCACTGTCTGTAAATCTAGCACCATGTCTGATTTCATTTTTGCTTTTCTGTCCATTTCCTCTTCCTTCTGGCCATTTTCTTCAGCTGTGGATTCTTCAACAGTTTCCAGTGCAGATTCATTAGGGGGTTCAAGGTTCTTGGATGCTATTTCATTTATCATTGATTGATAATGCTCCCCACTGGGACTGGGATTAGTGGAGTCTGAACTCAAACTCTGGGTATCAACATCTGTGTTCTGGCCAGTCTCTGCTTTTTCTAAATCATGGCTTGTTGAACTGCTTTCAATTATCACATTGTCTTCAACTTCTTCTGTAACAACAACCAGTTTATCACCGTCCATTTCTATGGATACTGTAGAGCTAGTGCGTTCTTTGACATTCTCATGGGAATCTGAGGAACTTGCTTGGGAAGCTTTTGGCTTTGAGGGGACATCTTTATTGATCAGCTCTTTTAGTTTTGCACCAGCAGATAGACTGTCACTAGCACTCTCTGAAGAGAAACTCACATCTTCCTCTGCACCTTCGGAAAATTTGGAAGCAGATGACTGTGTTTGTTTAGAACCTTGAACATGGCTGATAATATCATCAGATCCAATACCAGAATCAGCTTGAGATTTGAGACTAGTGCTGAGCTTGGGCTTTTGAGCATCTCTGCTTTGCTCTCCTGTAGATATGTCTGAGCAAAGACTGATATTATCATTTGCCTTGTGGTTATGGCAACCCTTGTCACCATGGTTTCTGTCACCATAACTTGAGGATTTCCTTTCCTGACTCCCACTGGCTTCTTCACTACTGGGTGAGGACAAAGCTGATGCTGTGAATTCTTGTTTTTTGGCACGCCGGGGACTAATACGAGGACTGGCACCAGGTCGTGATGGACTATTCTGTATACTCCTTGGATTTTTTTTCAGGGTAGAATTTGGTATCCAGGTCAATATGAGTGTGGAGCCAAGGTGCTGCAGTAAAACAAAACCAGCAGAGTTATCAGTTTTCTTATTCTTTTTATAATAAATCAGAATTTGAGTCATCTTTTAAGGCAAATTATTTCAATGATATTTCTAAAACTGATACAACACTAAGTGATATTGTTCATAAAGCATCATTCTTCATTTGATTTTAACTCAATTTCTTTCACTCATCCTGACTTTAACCACCATAAAATAATAAATAAAAAAATCATCAAGTAATTTCATATCCTCTTATAAATGTATTAAATATAAAATATTCAATTCACACAAGTATAAACTTTGTGTTAACCAATATATCTAGTTTTCACTAAATCCATGATTAACTAAAGAGAAAGGGGAAATTTTTGATCTGTAGGGGAAAGTTAATACAATAATAAGAGTTAGAAGGGCTAGCTTATTTCATTAACTGATGCCTACTTCTACTACTAAATTGGAAGACCCTGCAGAATACAAATTTAATCAAATTTGTGTTAGGAACACAATGGTTTATTCAATAATGTCATTATGTCTTTACCAGTTTGACCAACACCAACACTTTCAACTCAGTATGACTGTTGTAGAATTTACACATACTCAACATGGAAATCAACAAGTCATAAATATTTCCCCTGCTAACACAAAGAAAGCCAAGTGAATGGATACCGCAACCACTTGACAAAGAAACCTATATCCTTTTTCTGTTTACTATAATCTCAAGTTTATTGTTTTATAGTTTTATGGTCAAATATCAAGGCACTTAGACAGGTGCCCTGGAGGTGTCTCAAATACCTTGATCTGTTTGAATAACCAGGATAAGCTGCTTTATAAACCCATTACCTTCCCATGGTCAATAACATTGAACTGACAACATGTAGTTACCATGGCAGTTAATAAGACAAGCAATAATAAAGTGAAACTCCCACCAGGATTTCCTTCATCTATGCTAAATTCTGTTTACTATCATATATTGTTCATTAGAGAAAGGAAACTGTTGCATTTGTCAAAATGAAAAACAAAAATGATTTATAAATGATGACAGACAGTGCACTTATGTTATTTGATGCATTAGCTGAATAAGTGACTGGCAAGGGAGATGAGCAACAGAAAATTGAAGAAGTCAACCTCTCGGTAAGCAGAATTTTCATCATTTTAGTTCAAATATCTCTCTCTCTCTCTCTCTCTTCTATTCCACCACTCTCTTCCTTCCTAGTGTTTAATAAGGTAGAAGAATCCACCCAGGCAAATATCAATTCCTGTTATAAAGAAATATGAGCTGACCCTAAGCACAGCATCTCCACCTCAATCAATATTTACATCATGCCTACTGTCTCCAGGGATACAATTTCTTTCTAAGAAAACTCAGGCCATTCAATAGATACTTAAATGAGCTTCACTAACTTAAAGACATTATTGGATAACCCACAGCAAAACTGTGTGAAAAGCAATGGGGTGTCTATACATTGAAAAAAGAATGTATTACCAAAAATGTTTGACGTAAATGGCCATGACCAACATGGAAAAATGACCCCTAAAGTCAATTTATTCCCAGATTTAAGCTTCGTTTCTGGCACCTGAAAACTCCTGAAGGTTTCACCTTTTTGCAGAACTGCATTTCAACATTGTTTCACGCATAAATCAGCACAAAATGGATGCTTGAAAACAGCTTTAAAACGCAAATTCTAGCCCCAGCTATAGGTGCTCAAATGTCTGTAGATCACGGAAGCCAATAACAGTGGCTATAAATAGACACTGTGCTTTCGCAGCAAACTGGATGCATGCACATTCATAGATCTAGCAAGCGAGTGCCGTTCATGCTGCAAGCTCTGATTGGATTGTATTTATAGCTTGTAATTGGCTTGCATGGTCTCCACACATTTGAGTACTTAAATTGAAGGTCAGAAGATGTGTTTTAGAGCCGTTTTCCAACGTCACTTTCATGCTGATTTTGATTGAAAAGATGTGAAATCACACTTCTATGGAAAGAAAAAGTCTTTAGGAGTTTACAGTAATGAAAAACCAACCTTACAACTGAGAATGAATCCACTTTAGGGGCATTTTTCCAGGCTGATTTTGGCCCTTTTGGTTGAACATTCTTGTAATACATTCTAGATAGAGATACATATATATATTATGAGCCTACCGATTCAATTTGCCTATAAATACGCATTAAAAACACTGAAAAAAGGATATTGCAGTTTCAAACTTTTGTAAAAAGAAATCAAATGGTCAATTCTAATACCTGAAGCCAAGCAACCTAAAAACAGAAACTCATAGCAGCAACATGTGAATAGTCGAGGTATTGAGGAATTTTTGCAGTTAATTCATTAATGTAATTTATTTCACTAATGAAACAGAGGAAGATTTTTAAATCTTCTCATTCTAGGCAGTTAGAAATGGTTTAAAAACCATTTCTAACTGCCTAGAATGAGAACTGAACTGCACTGGGATTTTACCAATAATTAACACACATACAACAGCACATATTCCACATCTAAACGCCAGTGCTTTGTCACTCTCACCTCGTCCCCCTGACAGCGTATGGACAGGTAGCCTGGAATCGGTTTCTTATCTGCCCCAATGGAGGCTGGAGGATGGACACACACGTTGTTCTTACAGTATATAATCTCGCCGTCCAGGGGAGGGGGGTGGAGGCTGTCCGGGGAGGTCAAACCCAGCAGACTGGATGCTTTCCGGAAGAGACTACTGAAGGCCATGGTAGGACTGGGTAGACTAGGACTCCCAGGAAGAAACTGGTCCAGGTTCATCCTCTATGTGGTAGCCAGCACAGCTAAAAATAACAATCAAATATTTCAATATCAGGTGGTTGGGTTGTTACAGATTTGAAAGGTTCCACTCATTCAACTAGTCCATAAATCTTAGTCCCATTTTGAAGCTTGAGTCCTTCGATCAAGTGCTCTTCGTGCTGTAAAAAAAATATCAAGCACGTTAATAAGCTGTGCTTCAGAGCCTGATTATGTGTAGTCTGTCTTAATGTTCCCACCTCCCACACACACACACACACACGGTATAATGTATTGATCACACAAATACAGCCCTGTCCACAGACAATACTGCAGATAAACTCCACAGTTGCTGCATGTGGCGCTTATGACAAAAACGGCAATCAAAACTGATTGGATCAATCCAACTTCAGAGACATCTAGATATCAATAGAAATATATTCAGCATATTAATCCTACTGGTGATTTTAGTATATTATAAGTAATATAAGCAACTCCACAAAATGCCTCTGAAGTGGCAAGCTTTCAAAAGAGAAAGCAATTGCATTTCTTTATCAGGGAGGAAAAAGTTCTACTGTAAAGATATCTTAAGGGCTCCTGAGTGAGGTTTGATTATGAGCAATTACTATTCCAGAGATATTGATTTTGACTTTTTTTTCTCTGGGAATAGACAAGATGCATGGGGGTTTAATGACAAATTGTATTGACACAACTTTTCTGTAACTACAGAGTCTATGCTAGAAGTTAACAAACCTTAAAATGTCTATTTACTCATGTAATACAGATCACTTTTCACATCTTTTAAATGCATAAAGAAAGCTTTCATTCTACTACCTTTACATCTCCGGGCAAAATCAATTTTGATGTGCAGCAAATACCAGCATAAAAAGAAGGTTAATCAACATTTCCACTATTTGGCCCAGGAATATTGTCTTTACACACATACACAAGCACGCACACACCAACCTGGTCTTGTCCCATATTATGTATGTTTATATCACAGGGTAAATTAAATCCTAAACTTATTTCTGTAGTTAAGCCCAGGTGTAAGCAGCTGACAGGCACATTATGTTTAAATGCCTTTAGCCACCACTCACTTCACATCATTTGCACCTGAGCCCAGTCCGGAGTCGGACACAAATCACTGATCACGAATTGTATGCTAAATGAACCTGTGCTATGCACTCCTGTAATTTGCACACTATTACATGTAATTATGCATGTATAAGCCTGTTTTACCTGTACAGAGACCACCCACGCCATAGATAAATGGGGTATATGACTGACAGGTAGTACTTAAGTATAGTCACTTTCATGCAAAAGTTATTACTGAACCAGCCCAAATGATGACAATTTGTCCTCAACATTCACTAGGCCTTTAGATTCAGACAGGATAATGAAAAAATTAGTTTCTCCACTTCTTTGTTATACATCAGCAAAATTTTACATGATTTCCCACTAGAATGTCACTTCAAACTGCAATTTAAAAACCTTTTTAAGTAGGTGTATAACTGTTTGTTATTAGTCACAGTGGCAAAAAATGAAGAATCACTTTCCTTTGATATTTTTATTTTATTATCTGGAGAATTAATGCATTCAGACAGGACACGTTATTTTCACTTATTTATTTTATTTATGTTATGTGATATAATCTGATATCATCACCTGATTTAACATCACCTGATATATCATCATAATGATGTTATCAAGAACACTCTGCACATAAACATGCTTAGGGTATATGTGCATGTGTTTGCACATGTGCATCCACGTGTGTGTGTGTGTGTGTGTGTGTGTGTGTGTGTGTGTGTGTCATAATAGTCTCACATGCAGATTAAAAACTATCCATTTAATAATTGCACACACCACAAATCCATTAATAATAGTTGTGCACTGGGTCCATTAGACTATCAATTATACAAAAATCATATGACAGCAAGCACAATAACAGATCTAGCCTATCCTAAACTGTGAATTATCATGATGAAAATTGCAAGAGCTGGAAATGAAATTGTACTTAGCACATATGTATACCATGTCAAAGCTCAGGTGGCCAATACAGCTGCAACATACCTTAATATAAACCTGGATGGCATGGCATGGCATGCATTACATAGCAATTATTGATTATTTTCGTCTGCAGCTGCCTCATTCACTAAAGCAAAGGATTTGTATCTTTGCACAAGTCTCCAATTTGAAAACAAATGACTATGGGGAGAACAGGAAATCATCCATAATACTTGGGAATGAGTAGCATAGGAAAATAATGTTTTAATCCACTAGGTACATCTAACACTCCGACAGGGGTCTCTGAAGGATAAATTGGTTGAAAGACTGCTTCTGTAGAGAAATGTCTGAAACTAATGAAACATTATTGCATAGTTCGGTAATAGGTACTGTCATTACTATTATCAGTTAATTGATAAGAGACCAATTACATATCGATGTCACTTATAACATGAAAAAAATTATACAAACAAATATCTGATGAGGACAATAAAATATGAGGATCATTGATCATTGGGTGTTCTCATTAATCATTATAAAATGAAACACTGAACTAGTGAAAGGATGATTGTACCAAATGTTTTGTTTAACAAACTGTTTTTTTGAAAATATATAAATAAATATAATAAAGAGATATTAAAAGTGTGTTTGTCAAACTCAGAATTCTCTTATATAATAAACTTCATACTCCATATCACTTTACACTACAGGTATATTACATAGTCTGTAAAAAAGGGAATAGCTAGCAATATTTCCCTGAATTGTATCTTTGTTTTCTGACTTTGTATCCTATTACAAATATTAAATTACAAATATTTCAATAAAGTATAATGAACCATATTCTTCACATAGTTATACAGAAATACATGTGTAGTTGAGATAAAGGTTGGTATTTCTTGTTTTAGCATACCAGGTAAATTGAAAATTATGAGAGCCAGAGATAGACTGTGGGTGCTGTAGAATCTGTTTATCTGTTGGTTTGTTTGCTTGTCTGTTTTCCACTTAAACCCAGATCATGGTCTCCTTAGATTGTCCTACTACAGTTTGATCTGGAGATTGTTGTTTGGGGTGAGGTGTGAGATGAACCTTGTCTGACCTCTGCTAGAGATCAAACCAAAGTAGTTCAAATAGTAGGCTTACACATCACTTAATTTTTCTAAAATGCAGGGATAAAAAATTATTTAAAAATTATTAACATTGACAAAAAATAATAAAATAAATAAATAAACATACTTTTTTGACATTTATTTAAAAACTAAAATCTGGAGCTAAGCTTGTCCACTAAATGAGCACACTGTGTAAACTTTTTTCTCAAAAATATCAAATGGAGGTTTTTACAATGATATAAAATATTTTCAGCTTGTATTTGATAATTTTCATTTATGAACTTTTTTTCCCATTTTAGAAACTCCTTTGTTCAGTAGTCATAAATTTACAAATGCACACACATACAGGTCTAGTTACTGATCACAATCTATTTTTATTTTATCAACTATTGTTCACTAACATAGCTTTAAGATAATGAAGGTGAATATTTAAGCTTACAGATGTATCAGGCAGCTGATTTACATATGATCCAATATTATAATAATTTTCAGCAGTCTGCGACGCTAGCCACTAGTCCTAAAACCAGTAAAATTTTCTTTGGACCTGTAGATTTTTCAGAATATATGAATTTTGTGGTCTGACATGATCATTATGTTTTTTTACCAGTTGTCAAAAGAGAGCTTTATAGATTTTGGCTTTAAATTTTAGCTATAGATTTGATTTAAGATTTGATTTAATTATTTTTGAAAATACATAAATTAAAAATATACAACAATATCAAAGTATTGTTATAACTAATATAAATTCAATAGGGGAAAATGTCCTGTCTTATTGAATTTTTTTTTTATTTGGAACAGTGAATCCTGATACAGACCTGTAGATTTTAGGAAACTGGTGGTCCAAATGGCCAGTAAGCTGAAAAGGTTATGGCACAGACTGTTTAAGTATGCCTATCTTTGAAGATGGGCTACCACTTCAATGAACAAATCAACATTTTTATAAACTTACAACACTGCTCTTAAGAAATAATTTTTTTACGCCTACGTTCCATTTAGTTGGGGTATTTATGGCCAGTATANTAATTTTTCAGTGGTTTTGTTATCTAACACTTTCCTTATTTTTCCAATGCGCCATAGTGCATAAGATGCTGATTTACACACTTCAGATACACGCTTGCCCATAGTGCCATTTTCATCGAGGGTAACTCCCAGATCTTTTACAGAACTAGATGGTTTTATAAGAACATCTCCTATGCAAATGTTGGCATTTTTTATTGATAATGAGAATGAGTACATAGGAGAGAGTACAATGTATTATGATAGGGCCTGTTCTCTTTGTTTTAAGCATCTATTTACAAAACACATAACCATTCTAAGAATGTCTATGTCTTGAGCACCCATAAGAAGATGAAACAGTTTATGATTGCTGAGGTCGCCTAGAGGTAGGAACTTTGACAGCTGCCCTCTGAAGGAATCACGTATTGAATTATGCTTTTCACTCTAGCAGGAGGTGGAACTCATCTTCTACTTTATTCGAATCACAAAGTTTGCACAATCTCAACTCTGCAGGGATTTTTGGCTTGCAGTACCTGCCCCGTTCAATAGAGAGATTGTGGGCGCTCACACGTAATTTGCAGTAATTAGCTCTGATATTTTTTGGGGCCATGTGGGTGTAATTTTCACACACAAATTCCTTCTTAAATTTAACATAGGTTCTTAGTATATTATCACTACCCGTTCTGCTCATCAATGTAGCCCACTGGTCCTGATATGCAGAGTGCAGAGACTTTTTGGTCAAGGTCTGAGCTATCTGAGTTGTCTGCCATGTTGGTGAGTGACTCTTCTTGGAAATACCATGGACGACTCCTACCAGGTCTAGTATCACATTACGTATGCTTTTATATTACCCTCTTTTCATGCAAATGGATGTTTCTGGTGTTTACTTATTGTAACTGGACTGTTTTTAATTATTTATTCATTTTATTATTATTATTATTATTTTTGCGTTGTTTTGCGCTCTATTGAGCATTTTAGGATGACTGCAATTGGGTATTACAGATAACATTTTTTTTGTTATGGTGCCATTATACATCAAACGTTACCCTTGATTTGGATCCTTAATGGGTCCAAATAAAGGATAAGTTTTAAGGGCATTTTTTGAGAAGCGTACCTGCCCTCCCAAACTAAATCTAAATGATAAATCTTATCCTGTACTCCATCATTAGTGACATAACATTATCAACAGCGTTGTCATAGCTTCTGCATCTTTCAAGAAGACTTACCTGAACGCCAAACTTTATGGTCTCTCTCAATCCAAAGCCTGCAGACCACTGCAAGAATACAGACTTCCTTCCTTTACCTAGAGCTAAGAATCTAGGTTGGCATTTTCCAAAAAGGAAACAAGTTTCGACAGTCTTGTTCATCTAAACAGACGGGCCCATCGTCAGATGCAGCAGAGGCCGCAGCGACCGTCAAATGTGGGTCAAACAAGAAAAACAGCATTGCTTTTTTTAATCTGTCATTTCAGTAATATGCAAAACAAGTGCAGCAACTAACTTGATTTTAGTGAATATCCAAATTTGTCTCACAGAACATTTGATATCCGAAACATAGATCTAAGATCTAACGTTATTCCGTCATATAAGATTTTAGCTTGAGATACAGCGCCATCTAACGTTGTAACAGTTAGGTTTGAGGTTTGAGACCGTGAAACGAAGTAAAAGGTACATTCTTGTACTACTTAAGAGAGAATCATCCGTTTAAGCCGACATTCATCCAATAAATACAAAGAGGTTAGTATAAAAAGGTACTAAAAGACCTGTTGGTGACCGCTTCAATTCTTTCTTCAAAGGCTGTATGATTTCACGGCGGTCTTACTCCGTTACTGGCAGAACGAGAATCTTCTTAGAATGGTTGTTTTGTAAATAGATGCTTAAAACAAAGAGAACAGGCCCTCTCATAATACATTGTACTCTCTCCTATGTACTCATTCTAATTCATCACCTACATGTGTAGATTATCATCATACATTCCATATATACAGGGTCGGATCCAGAGCTATTTTCTGACAGTCTTCCAAATTATTTTTGTTGATCCATCCTCCAAATTTGACCGTCTTCCAACAGAAAAATTAGATACCTGTTAATGTAAACTTGAAAATCTGACCGTCTTCTGGAAGACCCAGAAGACGGCCTAAATCCGCCCCTGATATAACTTCTTATAAATTAACTTATTGATCTTATAGGGACAGTCGGGGTGATGTCACACGCCTTAGCAACCGGCATCTGGGGTAAAACAAATCGGGCAACATGGCGGATCGCATTGACTTCTATGTAAAATTTGGCAGATTATGTCCGAAGATATCATTCTTCACAGGGCTTGACCACTTGTGTCAGTGAGGCTGAGTTATTTACCTGGTTGATTTCCTTTACAGGCCTTTGTAATTAGCCGCTGCACACCTGGTTAAGAGATAAAATCGGCCTTAATATAACTGCCGATCGTTATCTGTGATCGAGAATTTTACAGCAAAAGATTTTGCAAAGGCAGTGCTTGACCTTTTGTGTCTGGCGGGTTGAATCATTTACCTGGACTTTTGAGTTAGCAGGCCTTTGTAATAAGCTACTGTTTAACTTGTTACGGGATAAAATTGGTCTTAACTGCATACGCAAATTTATGTCCACCCTAAGTACCTGTACATGTACATGAGGTGGTGAAATAGGAATGGCTTCTTAGAACGTGGATCGTAAGAAAGACCTGGGAAATGTGCAACACTGAGAAGTTATTAGAATAAGATTTCTACAAATTGTGATTAAATCACCTGCTGCTGCAATAGCCAGGGGAACGGGATAGGAGCAATGTCATCGGTCCCATGGCCTCTTTGGTCAGCATAAACAGTTGCTTGCCAACTTTTTGGAAGAGAAGACACGTTGTGTTACCTGTATTAATTAATATTGTCAGCTACGCGTCATATGAGTGTTTAAAATCTTATTGTGCACTTTTCTGGCAAAATATCATGGAAAACAGAACGTAAATTTTCAAAACGTACAAGATTAAAAATAAATTGAATAACAAACACGGCAATAAAGCTGTATGTTATTTAACCAGTTAAGGTCGCTTTACTTATGGCAACTTTTTAAAAATTTTACTTGATAACTTAAAGATTTAGACATTACCTCACAGGTTTGTTAATATATTGACGTTCATATTTTTCTTACCTTTATAACGCCCTCAATTAACTTACAAGAAAAAAGTTTGACGTTATAGTCCATTAATTTTACTTATAAGAATTGATATACCGTCACACATGCCACAACAAGATGCAATCTCAATTTCTTGTAACTACTACTAATTAATTACTGTAACAAATGACAAACATAAATGCCAAACAAGGTACAATGATTTTCCTTTATCTATAATAAAATGAACTATACACACATACACAAATCTCGTAGTGCATGTATAGCTACGACCAAATCTTGTTTCGATCAACAATCCCGTCTTTAGTCATGTTTGCACGACCTATAGCCTGCAACAGTCGTTTACTTTTCCGTTGATCTTTGAAATTTAACAAATCCCATTAGATTTTATTAATGTGTTGGTAATGTGTCGCCTGATACACAGCAAGCTTCCACCATTTAACTTTTGTACGTGCCTGAGAGTTAAACGGTACCGGTTCAATTCGGTAGGCCTGCAAAATCTACTCGTCAGGTGTGTCAGCAATATGCAACGTCAACAGTTATTAGTACAAATGTGAAAATAGTTTCATTGGATCTTAGTTTTTGATAGTCAGAAAGGTTTCATTTATGCTAGATCCTGAAATTTGAAATTTACGCCCAAAGTACACAAAGAGAACACACCTCTAAGACCGATAGTGGATTATACGGGTTCCATAACATATAACCTTTCAAGAAGTTTAGCGGACATACTAGCTCCATTGATAGGGAACACAGAACATCATGTTCAAAATTCAAAACATTTAGTCAAGATCTTGAAGGAATTAAGAATTGAAAAAGATGAAACATTGGTATCATTTGATGTGACCTCATTATTCACCAACACACCCATTNATAGGCCATGGGACCGATGACATTGCCCCTATCCCGTTCCCCAGGCTATTGCAGCAGCAGGTGATTTAATCACAATTTGTAGAAATCCTATTCTAATAACTTCTCAGTGTTGCACATTTCCCAGGTCTTTCTTACGATCCACGTTCTAAGAAGCCATTCCTGTTTCACTACCTCATGTACATGTACAGGTACTTATTGTGGACATTTGCGTATGCAGTTTTAACTTAAAAGACCAATTTTATCTCGTAACAAGTTAAACAGTAGCTTATTACAAAGGCCTGCTGACTCAATAGACCAGGTAAATGATTCAACGCGCCCGACACAAAAGGTCAAGCACTGCCTTTGCAAAATCTTCTGCTGTAAAATTCCCGATCACAGATAACGATCGGCAGTTATATTAGGGACGATTTTATCTCTTAACCAGGTGTGCAGCTGCTAATTACAAAAGCCTGTAAAGGAAATCAACCAGGTAAATAACTCATCCTCACTGACACAAGTGGTCAAGCACTGTGAAGAATGATATCTTCGGACAAAGTCTGCCAACTTTTACATAGAAGTCAATGCGATCCGCCATGTTGCCCGATTTGTTTTACCCCAGATGCCGGTTGCTAAGGCGTGTGACGTCAGCCCGACTGTCCCTATTTGGGTGATCTAACACCGGTCCTTTCATATGTGTATGGTCTCAAATGTAACAGATTGATAGGCCAGGCAATTTTAAGAGATCCAGTCCAGTATCACGATCAGTTGCTTTGTTCACTATTTGAATGCACATGACCGAGTGTGACACTGTGTGTGTGTGTGGCACATTGCAGAACGAAGGCTTCAAACTTACAAAGTACAGCACAAAGAACTCGCTGTCACTGAGATTAATTGTTCTCAATAAATCATATAAAACGGTCAGAGTTATGGATTTAGCTCTTAAATTCCAAATTGTATATTACGAATTTTTTGATAAAATATTCTTAAAAATCGAACGGTGTTTTTGTTCATAATAACTACTTAAAGCTTGCCAGCTGTCTCCACAAACCCACCTTGTTTTGGTCGCCATATTTCATTTCCGCTTCCGGTGCTCAGACACAACTGTTTGTTAGGACGTTTCTTATTGGTTGGCCAGTGTAATTTCGCCTTCCCACAATCCCCCTACAAGCTGCTGTTATAGCAACAAAACACCATGGCGGACGAAGAAAAGTGAGTGTTTACGTTTTCTCCATTAAATAAGAAAAATGTATGGCAAGAAATTCTTTTAAGAAATGAAAAATCTCTTTATTTTTTTCAGCTAATATTAAGCATTAGTTAAGGGGCAAAATTAAGCTTTTGGATAGTTATATACGGGAATAAACATTGTTTTTGTATGGATCAGATGCGTTAAATGTAAATTTAATAATAACCAAAAATAATTTCGATCGTCTCTTTTGACTTTAAACGTCGCAGCTCGTAAGTTACTACAACATAAATGTACACCAGCTTACAGGAGGCTATGCCAAGTTACTGTGGTTATTGTTGCTCAAATGACTAATACCAAATTTAGACTAGTGAATAAATGTTTTGAAATGATTTTCATTAATGATACCAGTACTGGCAGTAATAACGTGGAACAGTGTAATTATAAGAGTACATGTAATAAACATTCATCAAAAGAATATAAGAAAATAAACCCTATTATCAAAAAGAAGCAAACTTTAATGGTAACACACATGTCTACTCGGGGTAGTACCAATACATTTGTCTTCATTTAGTTTCAATAGCTTCCCCAGACCACCTTTGGAACGTAGTAGGAGCAGGTAGAGTAAAAAGAGCATGCCACTGTGATTTTTAAACCCCTTTTGCCTGTGATATTTATTGAATTATGTGAAAAATAATAATGCAGTGATGGGTGTGGGTATTTTTGGGACTCTCAGTTTTTCCCTGCTCATCTTCAGTATATGTACCTGTAACGACTTCATCTATTGTATATGGTATCACAAACAATTCAAACTTGATATGGAATATTGATTTCAGAATAGTTTGCGTGTGTATTGCATATGTTTTTCAAGTTTTTGTTTTTACTGATAATTTTCATGTGGAATTTCCAGCTTTCTCTGTTTTGCCCAAATGCATGTCACAAAGAATTTATTGAACAACTTGCTACTCTTTTTCTTATCTGCATGTTAATGATGGAATAGTTTTAAACACCATGATTATAATATGTTTTTATTTTGTAGTGTTGGTGAAGTTGTATCACAAGTGACAGTAAAAGCTCTGCAAGAGGTAGGAAATAGATACAAGCATTGTTAATGTTGTCAGATATGTTTAGAATGTTCGGGAAATAAAATAGTTTGTTTTTAAGGTGTATAGAAAACCCCATTATTTCAATAAATGTTTTAGTTGCTCAACCCCTTTTTCTGTTATGAAATCCCCACCAGCACTACTTCAGTACTTGAATGATTCTTTAAAATTTATTTAACCTTCCTACCTATTTATGCAGTTGTAATTCATTAAAGCTCCACCATGGTATGACTAATATTTTAAAGTTAATGGACTTAATTTCAGTTTGAAACTGGTCCACTAACACCTGAACAACTAGCTGAGGGAGAAGGTGCAGATGCTGAGGCAGAGCCTGCACCAGGAGATGGTACAGAGGATGCAGCAGAGGGTGAGCAGCCAGCAGCAGTAGAGAAACCACCCTCCAGGCCCATATCGGCCAAGTCAGGATCCAGACCAGGCTCAGGAAAACCAGGTAGAATCCATATTTCTACATTCCATTATTATTATAATTATTTTTTTTTTGTTGTTGTTGTTTCATTTATTTTTATATAGAAGGTATTGTTGTTATTAAGAAAGATGCTGATTCCCATTCGATAAATTACTACTTGGGGTTTCAGGATTTTGACTATAATTTTCATGGCTTTACATCTGTTTCTACACAGGTTCTCGACCAGGATCCGCTACACAGAAGCCTCCCAGTCGCACAGGTTCAGGTGGCTCTGCTGGAAAGGACAGACCTGCCAGTGGCAAAGGGTCTGTGGCTGAGAGGCTTTCTCAGCAGGGCTCTAGACCTGGTTCTGGCAAAGCTGGTTCAGAAAGACCTGGTTCTGGTAAGGCTGGTTCAGAAAGGCCTGGTTCTGGCAAAGCTGGTTCAGGCAGGCCAGGTTCTGGTAAAGCTGGTTCAGACAGACCAGCTTCTGGCAGACCTGGCTCAGGCAGACCTGGTTCTGGAAAACCGGCATCTGCCAGCAAACCAGACGAAGCTGTTCCAGAGGGAGCAGGTCAAGAAAGAGGACCTGATGATGCTGCAGATGTACCTCCACAGCCAGCGGAGCAGGGCACTGGGGCAGGGGAAGATTTTGTACCTGGTAAGTTATTGCCTCTCTTTTAGTAAAAAAAAATGTGATCAGTTTTTTTTTTGTTTGTTTGTTTTTTTGTTTTGTTTTTTTTTTTGTTTTTTATTAGTACATATTCATACGTTGGTTTCAGTCACAAAAGCTGTTTCAGCTTGGAGAATAATGTATTTGCTTCAAGACATTTTATAAGTAGAATATCTGACCTTTTAGGCAGCACTGGATCATTTAGTTCATTGTATTCTGTGTCCTCCAGACTTTCCACCACCAGATGAACCCCAGAATGATGACTTGCTGAACTTTGACTTTGGTGGCACTGGTGCAGGTGCCCTGACTGGTGGAGGCGGCGGGGGTGGTGGAGATGATGGGGATGATGGTGGAGATGGAGGAGATGATGAGGATGATGAGGAGGAAGAAGAAGAGGGTGGAGTTGGACCTGTAGCTGTGGGAGGAGAGAGTGATGATGGAAGTGATGGAGAGGGGGAGATGGTCGTCCTGGATCCAGACCATGTGAGTCATCACTCATCTTGCCCTTCTTTTTAATATGCATGACGACAGGATAAGGATGGTAGAGAAAACAGTGCTCACATATTCATTGACTTTTAAAAAAACTAGAATAATGAGGGTTTTAAACATTTTTTTACTGATGTCAAGCAATAAGCAATTTAATGTTGATGGTTTTTATGATGCACATTGCTGAATAGTTGACATTTTTCACTTTTAGCCTTTGATGAAAAGATTCCAAACTGCCTTGAAATCTCACCTGCTGAAACAGGATGAAAAAGTGACATTGGAGCTCAGAGAATTGGTAAGTATATTTATCTGTCATTTGACAATTTATCTTGGAGTGCCAAATTTGCTAAGATGTTGTTTTACTTCAGTCAGCAAGTTATTGCTTGGAACATTGACCATGTCTTAAAGTATGATAAAATTTGCAGCTCTTTGGCAGTGATTGACAACACTTGAAGTTAATGTTCTCACTGCTTTTCTTGTTTATTTCAATTCTCACTAAGACTTTGCCATTTTTCAGACTGAAGCCCTTAAAGATAAAAGAAAGACCAGAGAAGACATTGGTGTGGAGTTATATGGTGTACAGCAGGAACTAGCCAGGCATCAGATGATGCTAGAGAAGAAACATGATGAGTTTGCCACGCTCAGCAACGAGAGAACCCAGGCAGAACAGAACCTGGGAGACATACGGGACATGTACAAGGAAACACAGTTAACTGTCAACAAGGATAAAAAGAAGAGTGAGTTTTGTGGTGCTTTAAAGTATCATACACTGAAATTCATTTATGGTTTCCTTAATAATGTATTCTTTACTTGCTTGTCAAGTATAGAGAACAGATAATCTTTGTTATTCATAAAATAAATGATATATTGCTGATTTATTTATGCAAGAATTAGAGAGAAATACATTTAGGGAATATTTTATCAATTTGGCTTCCTTTTATTTACATGTACTTGAGAACTATATATTGGAAATATTTCATAAACTGAGCTCACTTCTTGATAGAATTCCTTTAAAAAATAATTTAGTAAGTTTTGCCACTTCATATGTGTGAACAAAATGAATGTTAAATGAGTAATAAAACAGTGGAATGTTTTACATTTGTATAATTATAGCCAAATAAGATCAGTGTTTGATTATATTTTTTTTCTTAACATGATCCGGGATAAACTGTCAAATGCCAGAAAGTATTATATATTGTCTTGTCTACTTCTCCAGATGCTGAGCTGCAGAGTGAGGTGGAGCATCTGGCATTGAGGATCTTCTACATGGAGAATGCCAAGGAGGATGTCAGGTCTGACATAGCAGTGATGAGGAGGGCTGCGGAGAAAGCAGACTCTGAAGTCTCCAAGTCAGAAGCACTTAAGCAAAAGCAGGTATGATTTTTGTGATAAAATACGAGAGAGACTTTTATTTCTTTTGTGGGAAAATTCATTATAGCTTTTTAAAGCTTTAATAGGAAAAACTATTTTGAAGTGATAAATTGCACAGTATTTGTGATATATATATCTATATCTTTTTTTTCCTGTAGGATCTGTTTGTGGACAGGCTTGTAGAGAGAGTGGACAAACTAAAAGAGGAGATTGCCATGTATGAGGCTCAGATATCTGCCCAGTCAGAGGAGACCAAGGCTGCCAGGGAGGCACTGACAGAGGCACACATGGAGATTGAGGTGAGGCTGTTTTAAATATGAAAGAAATGGATGGTAGTAACGGTGATTTATACTGTGAAGTAACTTGGGGGAGGGGGTTCAGTGATGAAAGAAATTACATAAGACTTGTAAACTGATTAAGCACAATTAATACTTGTAGATTTTGAGTAAGTGAATGAGAGAGAGAGAGAGAGACTGGGGTGATTAAAGAGATAGGGAGGGAAATAGTGGGGAATATATGAACTTGATTGGGAAAGATTTTTTCATATATTATAACAATCTTCAGTGGTGCCTTTCATCTGATTTAGGCAATCAACATGGAGAAGAAACAGCTGTTGCAGCAGTGGAACAGCAGTTTGATTGGTATGAGGAGAAGAGATGAAGCTCATGCTGCAATGATGGAAGCCTTGAAGTAAGACTTTAACTTATAGAATTTTATCAATTAATAACATTGAATAGTTGATCAGTCAGTGAAGCTCAGAAACATGTATATGTTTATATGTGTATATATACATATATATAAAATGCAAGAATATCCTTTTGTTACCCTGATCTATTGTTTACCAGTTTGCCACAAGAGATTGAACAAATTAAAACAAATATCTGTTTTGTTGTATGTAATTTTACTGTGTCACAGTCTCTCAGGACAAAACTTAGTATGTATCTATTTCCACATTACAGTCAACAAGAACAAAGAATCCTTTCCCTGGAAACAGAAATCGAAGGCTACAAGAAGTCTATATTTAAAGAGCAGGAGCAGAATGAAAAGCTGACACTTATTTTGAACAAAGCTGAGATAGACATTGCCACCTTGAGGAAGCAGATGGCTGTTTGCCAGCAGAAACACGAGGCACTGAAGTCTGAGTATGCCACATATACCAGGATGTTACATGAGACAGAGCAAGCCTTGAACAGAGCTAATGCTGTGAGTTGAATTGCAATTGACACAATTCTGATACGAGATCTGCATGAATAGAATGTAAAAAGTTCCTGGATGTTAAAATGGTAAAATACATTAACAAGCAAGGGGGGCTTTATTGGGCTGACTCTGGGATGAAATTTGATAAATTTGGCAATATACAAATATTTTACACTTACTTTGTTAAATTAGAATATATCTGGTATTTTGGCTGATATTATGACATTACAGTAATCACAGCTTTAATTACAATGATTATTTTTGTCATCATTATTTGACTAATTAACTTATTTTATTAATATTTCTCAGGAAAAACAAACTAAGCTGAATGAGTTGAATGCTCTGAGGAAGCAGATAGAGCGTGAGTACCTGGAGAAGGTGCGACTGGAGGATGAAATAATGGAAATGATGAGACAGCAGCTCACCATGGACAAGGCCTCTCAATACACAGAGAAGCTTACAGGGAAACTGAGGGACAGGACAAAAGAATTGGTAAGGAAATAAAAGACTGAGTAGGTGACATCTACCAAGATGCATTACTGAATAAGATCATTATAGAGTATTCAATTCATATATTTTTGAAGTAGGTTTTTCACACATACAATTCTCTGTAGCGTGTTTTATTAGTATATGAATTAAGTTGAGTCAAGTCATTTTTTATTCATTTAGAAAAAAAATCTTGATTGTTGTTGTAATTATTACTATTAATTGTCTTTCTATCATTGTCAAATTGTTATTATTGTTATTGTCTATCATTTTCATTCATTTTATTGCTTTAAGTTCTTATATGAGGTGAACATTATCATAGATCATTGATGAATTAATTTTAATAGATAGTGAATAAGTATCATTCATTTCTTCTGTCAACAGGAAGCCCAGTCAGCAGAAGTAGAGAACCAGATAGCTCGTGATGGTCTGGAACTCTCCAATGTGAACACCAGAATAGAAAACCTCAAACATATCATGGATGATCTGAATGAGAATATTCGGCAGAAGAATGCAATAATCTCCAGGAGTGAGAATGAAATGATCAAGAGAAACGCCATCATCGAGAGGAAACAGAACCTGATAGATCAGTATAACAAGAAGCTGGAAGTGCTCATTTCCAGTGCTGGGGTAGGTTGAGTCAGATTATTGAAAACGTTTAACATTAATTTTTCAAAGTATTTACCCTTTTTTAATATTTGACATATGTTTATTATAATTATTATGATTAATTTAACATTTCAAAAACAAAGTATCACATTCGTAAGAAAAGCATAAGCTTTAAAATTAAACATACAGTGACCAGTCAAGGAGTTAGAAATTGTTATTAACCATCTATATCTCACCTTCCAGGGTGTTGAGCTTGGTCCCCTGGAGATCCAGATCAACTCTCTGCTCAAGTCCATAGATGCCCAGCAGCAAGAGATAGCAGAGTTGCAGCAGATGTGGCTGAGGCAGCAGAGTGAGCTGGTCAGACTGACCAGGGAGAGAGAGGAACAGTCCTTGGATGTCGAGACCAGGAAAAAACAGCTGGTCATCCTGACACAGAAGAAGATGAGGATTGAAAGTAAGTTGTCAGGGCAGCTTGGATGATCAGTTCTTTTGACAGTTTTTTTTAATAGACAGCTAGAGATAGAGCTATTTACTCCACAATAGAAGTGTCTGTCAGGTTATCTCTATCACCAAATTTAATGATTTATTTTTTCTTTGAAACGTGAAGCAAGAATTTTTTTTTTTTTTACTGTTGTTTACATTTATTAGTTGGATGAAGTGTTATTAATTTTTATTGTTAGAATAGTAACCTGTTGTTTTAGTTGTAAAGCAGAATGTTGTAGTTTATATTAACTTGAAATTTTAGTGATTTTGTATATTTGATACTGTATTATTGACAAAATTTACTGAAATACTTGAAATACTTTTCTTTGTATCTTATGGTTAGAGGTAAACATGTCATTTTGAAATTGCAGGTGAAATTGAGCAAGAGAGACGAGACATTGGTGAGATTGAGAAAGATGTCAGCAACATGCACAATGACATGTTGAAGCTGAATATGTTGCTCCACAAGGAGAAAGGAATGGAAGAACAACTGCACCAGAGTAACGCTCTGATGGAGACAGATTTCATTCTGCAGCTCAAGGTAGGAAGGCTGTCTGTTGTGCACTGAATTCAGATATTTGAAGCCCTTCAAACCAGTGAAACTAGCAGGGTGTAAGACTCTCGGTCATCTTAGTATTTAAGTCATAGAATTTGAATACATTGAATACATTTGCACAAATGAATTTAAATTTGAAGGTAGATATATTTGGACTAATTCAATAAGTGTATGGGGAGATTCTCATTATTATATATTTAATTTCCAGGAATCGGAGATGAACTCCATACAGATGCAGTCCAAACTGGATGCATTGAAAGAGGAAAAGGAAAGACTGCTCAATTCCCTGGTGGAAGCAGAGTGAGTACTTCTTCAATCTTAGTTATTTCTTTTAATTTTTTTCTTTCTTTATCACATGACATAGAATTGAATTTTAATCCACTAATCTGATGTGTGAGTTTGTATTACATGATTTATTGCCTCTATATGACTCACACAACATACATTCTCTATGTAAAAATGCAAATAAGTTCAATTGACTGAAATAAAGTAATTTCTCACTAATTTGAATGTTGTATTTTCACATTGACATATCATCTATAAATATTAAAGGGAAATTATTAATAACTATTGATGATATGTAACCTCTCCATCCAGGCGTCAAATAATGTTGTGGGAGAAGAAGGCCCAGTTGGCCAAGGAGACCCGAGCTGCCGTGGACTCAGAGGTGGGTCAGGGGGAGATACGTGCAATGAAGGCCGAGATCCACCGCATGCAGGTCCGCTACACACAGCTGATGAAGCAACAGGAGAAGATGATCCAGGAGATGGAGAAGGCTGTGTCCAGGTAGGTGTCCAGGAGTTTTTGTTTTGGAATTCTGTCAGTTTGTGTGTTCAAATGTGGAGTGGGTTTTTTTTAGGTTGTGCTCTGTTGGAAAAAGAAGGTAGGACCTTAGAGCAATGTTTTTGGGAAAATTTTTATATATAGCAGTTATCAAAAATCAACGTGCAAAGTTTGTTTGTTTTTTTTTTATCTTTCAAAAATGCATTCAATTTATGTCAATTGATATATTAAATAATTTAAAAAAAAAACATGCATGGGAGAGATCCTTGATGGAGACTGGCTATCAAAATAATATATCAAATTTTGAAATAACTTTCTATTCCAGGCGTGACACCATTGTCACCAGAGGTGATGCCCAGAGTAAGATGCACAAAAAAGTTCTGACCAAAGGAACATTCCAGAGACAGCTGGCAGAACTGAGGAAGAAAATCAAACAAACTGTGCAGGTAAAGTTTTGCAATATGAAATACATTCCACATAATAGCTTTATGGTCAATTTTTCATCCTTCTTCTTTTTTATTTTATTCTTCAATTGATGTATCTACAATTTCTCTAATTATTTGTTGAGGTAAGTTATAAAATGTAAAATTAATTATAATGTGCTAATATATTTTCTGCCACATATATCTCTCCAATTCCCATAATTCCAGGATGCGAGTGGCTGTGACCAGGAGATACGCCAGCTGCGTGAACACCAGCAGCAGTTAAGCCAGCAGTTGGAGGACAGACAGACCAACTGCCAACAACTACAAGGCAAAGCAGACGAACTGGATGTGGATGTAGAAAGACTCTACGAACAGAAACAGAAGGTGAAAAATTATTTGTTTGTTTGTTTGCTTCAGTTTTGATTCTTTGTAGAGATTGTTTAAATATGATTTCTCAATCACGCCACTTTATTTCAGTGCTTGTAAATGAAAACTGTACAGAAAGAAGTCTCAAATGTAGACCAAGGGAAAAGAAAATCACATGGTTAAACACTGATTGAAGCTGCTAAAATCATATATTCTGGCCTAAAAACATCTTATGTGGTGTTCTGGTTTGAGATGTATCACGTGTGTTAGAATAAAACATTAATTTTTTTCTTCATTCCAGAACTTGAGTGAGCTGCTGTCCAAGCAGCAGAGAGCCAAGTACTACCAGCAGGCCAAGGACGGAAAGTACACCAGGATATGTAAGAGTGACGCCGCCTTGGACAGCGAGCTGGAGAAACAAAAGGAGAGGCTGTATGCTCTGTCTGCCATAGTGGACAGGTTGAACCAAGAGTTCCCTCATGTCCAGCCAGCCCTGAGGAAGGTCACTGTGGCACTGGGGTCCAAGATGATGCATGATGAAGATCAGTAGTGGTCAGTTAGGTGGTCATCGTGGTGAAGACCCAGATGTTTGCCCTAAGAGACTGTTTGGATGATGTTTGGACATTGAAAGAATTCAAAAAGAACTATTAAAAAATAAAAAAGTAAACTTTAAGTTTACAGTGTTACCAACAAATGTAACTTTATTTTAATGTGGAGATGTTGAAAAATATTCAATTATAAATAAACGTTTTTGTATAAAATTGTATTCAGTGTTACATGATTCATTTCTTACTTGAAGGCCCAATAAAAAGCTAATACTAGCATACAGTCTAAAAACGGATCATCAGGAGCACATCAGGATCCCATTCACAGAATTCACAGAATTCACAGAATGCAATTATAGTTGAGGCATTATATGAACAATTTCCAATAGGATTTAAGTTTTTAGAAGAAGGCCGTATATCTGGTAGCCATACATCAAAGATACATATGAAGTTAGCATGGATTTCCAATAACACATATGCACCACTTCTAATAGCCTCTTATACAACTAAAATAAAGTCAACATGCCAAGACATAAACCCAATCTCTCAATCAGCCTAAAATTGCTTTAAAACTGCACCTTCTTCAAATTTCTGGTAGTAAATTGACCCATTCGTTTGGCCCTTTAGTTCAAAGGTCTGCTGAATGACATAGTACCGTGGGCACATTGCATAATCACCACTCTTACTCCAGTGTATGGAAGTATAGCTGCGAGTGCAATTGCGTACTTATTCAAATGATAAGGGATATTTATAACACAGAAAGAGAGCAGCCATTCAAGAATCATATTTTGGGAAAGACAAAACGATGTCCTTTGGTATTTCTCGGAGTTATATCATTAAAAACTATATGGTGTTATTTGGTCAGATTTTGTGGAAAATTTTACTTTAAAAGATAAGTAATACACTGGTGACATATTCCACAAGTTGCTCAACCCACAACTGTGAAGACAGGCACATTTCATGTGGCCTTACTGTATAGCCTGCCACAGAAATTGGGGGTCCTAATATAGATCTTTTCAATTATTATTCTACAGAGATCCTCATTTTGTTTTGTATGCATATACTTTACAGATACATTTTAGTTAAAAGAGCATGCAAAGGTGTAAATGTTACACCTGGTACTCAAGAAATTATGAAAATGCTTTGCATTTTTACATAAATTGCAGATAACACAAACTATCATGTTAACCCAATTATTGATCATTAAATAGACATGACACAATGAAACTAAATTTTCTTGCTGGTTTTATTTAATGAAAAAATAATCTACAATTTTAACAAGTAAATTTTCAACAGTTATCATTTGATGAATTGCAACCTGACTTTAGCATATTTTTTAACTTAGCTATACAGACAGGTGAACTTAAAAACAATAACGCAAGGACCTTTGTACACTAACAAAATGCTGTAACTCTCCTATGGGATTTAAATATTTCCCCTAGGTTAAATCACTAGATACAAAGCATTCTACCTTTTAAACTTGCATGAAATAACCAATAATAAGAAACAATTCCCCACACACTATATTCAAACCCCTATCTCAAGCAACTACTCTAACGACCTCAAGCAAATCTATGTAGCATTAATATTATTATGAAGACAGTGGAAACCTGTGTTATTAGCACCTGAGTTGATGAAAAGACTGCAATTATGAAGAGAAAGGTCTGAACACATGGCAATACTGTGTTACAGCATTTTAGACATTGGCTCAGTTGAATAATAAACATATAAATCATATACAAACTACTGGATATAACTTGATATAACAACCACTGTACAATATGTACGCAGTTGTAAAAATATATAAGTATATACAGATACACATACAGGTGCAAGTACAAAATGTTGCTCTCAGCAGCTCTGCTCAGATAATAAACTGAAGATGAATGAAATACTCAAAAAAAAAAATATTATGAAAAAAATACTAGGCAATAAAGAAAATATTGTTTTACAATATGAATATGGAATATTAATTGTGTATTGCCCCAATTCCTGACAAATAAGAGTAAATTGTATAGAATTGCCGAGGGCGACTGTAAACAACACAGGCATATTGCAATGTTTTATATAAACTAATCTCTCATCTCTGACAAGTACAAAACTAACAACGTTTGAAATGGATTTGCATTCTTTGTTTTAAAAATACCATTATTACAGTTACACATCACCTTGATGTGGAATATTCAGCCAATAGATCACAATCATACATTCTGTCAAACAGGGAAACATACAATTTATTCGATGTTCAATCTTATTGTGACATTTCACACATTTTAACACAGACACTTCATTTCTCAATTGACATTACCCTGAAAATTGTAGTTAAAATGACATAACATAAGTCTTATTCTCATTCCCCATATTCTGGGGACTTTTTCTCTTCTCACTTCCTTTCCTGTTTTCATTCTGAGTGACAGTAACGTCCATCTGATTGCTTAGAGTCCTGAGTGCTGACCGGTCAGGAATGTGCTGGACATGGTCAGTTTGAGCATGTGAGGATAACCTACGCTGCCTTTGTGAACGAGTATCATAGTGGTGGAAGCCTGAAGCACCTTGTACGTCTCCAGCTGTGCTGTCATCCTGGTGGACTGTAAACCCTGACTGACTAGTGAAGGAAACCCCTGAATCAAAGACAGAGTCTGACAGTTTTAATGCTGCTGAGGGGGAGGCCACTGCCATGTGTTTACCAGCCTCTCTGCAGCTGGAGTGATTCACAGAATGTGAAGAGTCCCCAGACTCAATAGAAACATCCGCCAGGGAAAAATTAGAACTGCTGGCCACGTCCTCGATGCTGAATGCGTAGGATGGAGACCCCCTGCGGCGCACTGTGACCCTGTCTGTGACCTCCCCACCCACCAAGATGGGCTGAAAGGCTCGGCTGGCTTTCCCTGACTGAGGTTCTGATGATGTGGAGGAGGGCGAAGAACTGCGTATGGCACTAAGGTCAGAGAAGTGGACAAAGCTGGACATGGCCTGATTGTCATTGGTACCGAATGTGTCTGGGCAGAATAAACTCATCAGGTCGGGGTCATCTGGATCTGAAACACAAAATGGAGAGTAAAGAAACGTATACTGGGAAGAGTAACAAAATTTAACTCCTGGTTCTTTGTAATACTTCACCTTAAAACTGTCAGTGTCAAAAACATTTTACCATACTAAATTTTAAGGATTCACTGGCCCAAAGCAAAAACAGTGACAAGTAAATAAACAAAATTTTTAACTTGATGGCTTGGCTTCAATTTTACTTGCAATTGGCATGGGGCCAGTGTCAACACTGAATTCTCTTACTGTAATGTGAGCTTAAAATCAACACACTTCAGGTATATAATTTGTGGCTTCTAACACAAGGTTATAACAGACTGATGATAATATACTTAAACATTTTAAAGGTGAGTGGGTAAATTGTGTTCATGCTCAAGACCTGGTGTTACAGCAGTAGCTACAAAACTGCTGCACAATTTCAAGATAACCATGAGGTACTCTAAATACCTTCCACATCCATGTAAGAGTCCCCTTCATCTTCTTTATCTCCAAAGTACCCAGACATCCCAGACTCATTGAAATAGTCTAGCAGGCCTGACGCCTCCTCAAATGTTGGGGTTGCTGCCTTTTCTCTGTCAGCATCGATCGGAGCTTTGCACGGGCGGCTGCCAAGTAAAGAAAGCATACATGATACCTTGGTCACCTGTGCCATGTACAACTGCTATCATCTTTATGTAATAATGGGTGGATTAAGAAATCAATTTTCACATTTTAGATCTGACTAACTTAAAAATTTTGTATAAGAATTCAATAGAATTTTACATCATATTATTTCTTGGTACTGTCTCTGGCACACAAAAGTTTTGACTCAAAAGTTTTCATATCTTCCATGTGATGATAGAAGTGTCACACTCACCCCTGCACTCTGTGTTTGTTCCTAGAAGGTGACATGATGAGATCTTTGGTTGTCTTAAAGCGTATCCGGAGTTCCCTCCCAATAAACAAGTGTTCGTCCACTCCCAGCACAGCACAGAGCTCATCACACCCCATCATCTGCAAGAGAAGGCAAAGACTGAGAACAGATATGTAATGTAAGACAGCTAGTTTTAGCAACAGGCCCACCACTTTCCACTCACATGACGGCTAGAAAGTTTTTTTTTGTTTTTTGTTGGGTTTTTTTTTTGCGTTCCCTTTATTAATGGAATTTTTTTATTTCTTTAATGTGTTTAACCCTCTAAATAAAGTCCATCTGTACATGCTTTGCCTCTATGTTTAAACCTAGCATATCCCACACAGATACTAACCTCAAACTCACTGATTTTATAGAATTTCTCCTCAGTATATCTCTGCTTTACAGCCTGAAGTTTGACCTCCCTGTGGTCTACCAAAGAGCCTTCCATGAAGCTGAAGGGGGGGAAAAAATTACTTTCACCAAATTAACTAAAAACAACCAAGGAAATGTTTCTTGCAGACATGAGCCTAGGTTTCAAAACAAAAATCTCTGAACATTGACGAATCTCAGGAACCATCAGAATTGAATTAAAAAACATGGAACAAGGCTCATGTCTGGTTAAGTCAGATACTCCACTCCGATGTCAAGATAAAATTTTATGCCCTAAGCCCACACTAGCACAGTAAGTTTCAACCAAGTGTTTAGATAAGGCAAAAGAAAAGATGTGTGTCTGTATATACCTATATATTTACAACTGCGTATATATTATACAATGGTTGTATCAAATATACAGCACACTATTGCACCACTTTCCCACATACCAATAAGAGTGAGCCTAAAATTAAAAGTAATTCATTTACCTATTCTTGACTGGTTAAATTATTCACCGTAATCACTTTTTAAAGAAGAATCAATGGAGGGTAAAGAACTCACCATTTTTCATGGATGTGAATGGTGCACTTGGTGAGATCTTCCACAGAGAAACCAGTGAACTCTGTCATCTTGCTGGGCCATGGTGTGTCTTGAGAGAAGACAAGATAAATGACTGTTACAAAGACTGAATAATCTTAAAGGAAATAACTACAACATTATGTGTGCCACAATTCAAAATATGTACATGGGAAGTTAGAAATGACACAAAATTTTATGACAACAAAGAATTAATAGATAAAAAAAATAAAATAAAATAATAATAATAATAATTGAGGAAAATATAATGACATGGCATTCAAAGGATATCACAACAGTCATTAGATTGCAGAGGTAACATAAAAACTAATATTTAAATACAATTGACAGTATGGTGTAATTCATTTCCAGTATGAAGCAGTCATGTTATTACCTAGTTTGTTAGCCACCCTGGCCAGTAGTACACAGCTGGCAGCCACCTCAGCCTTGGTATAGGAGGACAGGTCAGTGTGGAGGAGGGTCAGTTCACAGATGTACTCGGCCAGACATTGGACACGCTGGTCAAGATCGACAATTCTGCCTAACAGGCCCACCAGGTCGAAGATAGTGACCACCTGGAATGTGAGATACATAATAGTAAAACACATCCATATACTTCAGAATGTCCAGTGTTAGAACAAACATATTGCAATAACCATGTGAACAATTGCTGTAAGTCAAGAGAATTTTCAAGTGTGATAGAAAAACATTCTATTGACGTGACATTCAACCACAGTTATTGAATTGGTTTATCATCTACGAGCAATATTTATTTAAGCTTTGTTTTACTGTTCATAATAGAAATAATAGCTTTCACACAGAAGGAAAAAGGCAAAAGAAAGTTAAGAGAAAAAAAAAAAAGAATCGGAGACATTTTTGTAATTTTTCAGGAGAGTAATGTTCATATTCTACTGGTCCAGATAGACAAACACTGGACTGAGGACAATGGTCATTTCAAGCACTGTTACAAAAGAAGAAAAATCCTGACAACCTACCCTGAGATCACCCTTCAGTGTGGCTAGAATTTCTCCCATCATCCTAACAACATCCTCATATTTGTAAGTATTGTCAGTCAGCCAAGCTGCCTCTCGTATTGTGATAATATCTTTACCCAGATATCTAGAATACGATGCACAAATATTAAAAAGATTTTCAACTGGTTGATCAAGTAAAGATGATCAACATTATTCACAAACCATTTGTACACATTTAATGGCTGCTCAAATAAACAAATGGTACAGACACTGTAATAAAGTAAAGAAAATAATACCTGCCTTCTTTTTGAAACAAAACAAGAGCTATCAATTACATAGAAAAAAAATAATTTCACGAACATAAATAAAATCTCATCAGCTATTTAGCTGATATCCTATATCCCTGCACCATATTCACACATCTACCAGCAACACACAGAAATAATAATAATAATTTAAAAAAAACAATACCATCCCTCCCATCAACCCCTTAATTCCACATCAAGACCTGTCCATTACCTTGAACACACCACCATAGCAGCCACCCCCAGTAACTGTAACTTGGACTTTGTCATCATGTGCCTGCTGATAAACCTGTCCACCACACTGATTGCCACATGGAGGGTCAGGCTACTGAAGTCCTTCATAGAAGCTACCTCCACTAGCCAATCTACCAGGATATATCTGGAAACAAATATTTACAGATCACAGTTCAGAGAAGACAGGCCGTTTATAAAATGTTCATTATGTGATTTATTATGTTTTAGGCGTTTCCAATTATGAACTAGTTGGCACAATCCTTGATTTAAAATTTTCGAATTACTGTAAATTTTTTAGTCAATGTGACAGACAGATGTAATTTTTAACCAAGCCTACAGTATGCACAGAGTAGAAACAAAAGTAATGGGGTACTCTTAAAACTCACCTCATAGAGTTTGTTATATCATAGTTCCACCTGAAAATATCATGGATGTCGCTGGGTTTAGTAGATTGCACAAACTCCTTCATGAAACCTGCTGCTTGGGCTTCAGAGATACCTCCGTACTTCCCATCTGCGTAAAGGTGGCACAAAGACAGCTGGGCCTCCAACTGACCTTTGTTGGCAATGTCACGGAGCATGCGAATACTTTTTAACTGACTGGCAACATCAAATGCCTGGAGTGTAGATGAGCAAAATTTCAGAAAACTGAATCAAATACAGTTTGCATATATAAGCCAGCTAAGCATCTTTTTAAAATACTACATAAATTTTCAGTATTACGAGTTGCCAGTCCACAATAAGCAATATCCACAAAAACAAATATTCAGACAATATTTTCTCTTGTTACTCATTATTAAACATATACTCTATAATTAAAGGATACCTAAAAATCTCATTACCTTTGTCTTCTGATTGCACTGCCACAGCTGATAGGCGGCCACAGGAGAGTGCTGACTGGCAGCCTTTTCTAGATAATCTTTGGCTTCCTGGGCATGCTCTTCATCATCGAACAACTGCAGTGTGTGTGCTAGGCACAACTGGACCTTACAGCTTGGATCCTGGAGAGAAATTATGCATAATTATAACATACTTCTTCATGAAGCATTATACATCATCTAAATAATATTTTGCCGTCATATCATACTTTCAGATAAAAAATACTATCAATTGTAATTTGCAAAATGTTAAGTGTAGTTGACCAAAAGTACATGGTTCCATTACATGTTTTCCTTTTGAAGAAAATAATCCTTGTCAATCTTTAGGCAAACTTCTAAACATTTTACTAAAACTAACACACTTCCCGTTTATTCTCTTACTGTCAACATGTGCTTTGTTACCTTTTCACAAATGCTCTTCATGTTCTTGAAAACATATTCTTTGCAGCAAGCCCCGGCAGTTGACCAGGGGGGACGGATGAAAAGCCAAGTGAATGGAGAGATTTCCGGCGTTAGAGATTCAACTTGGCAAAACATTGCAGCAGCTTGTTCTCCATTGCTCGTAATGCGCTTCCCTTCAAAATCACCAGGAACTGCAATGAAAAAAATAAAATGGAAATATTTTAATCCTTCAAGGGAAAATGCACCTTTCCATTTTAAATTCTGAGATGACAGGGAATCTTTTTAAAAAAATCCAAAAAAGCAAGGACTGGCATAAGGTTCTGTATAGGGAGCCTGGGGGCATCAATACAACACCCAAGCATCTGAACATAAATTTTCATTTCTATACATTGCAGTATCAATGCTCATTTCTGAAAGTATATGAATCATACTTCTGGATATTTGTCTACATTGGTAATTAATTAAAGGTACATACGAACCGAACATCGGTGGAGCGTGGATTCCCAGTAACACATGTAAACCACTTCTACTAGATTCTTATATGACTCAAATAAATTCGACATGCCAAGGGATAAACTGAATAGATCACTCGATCAGCCATAAAAGACCTTTAGACTGCTCCTTTCTTTAAATTTTTGGTTGTAAATTTAACCTACTTTCGTGACCTACTTTCCTGCCCCATTGACATACAGCTTAGAATGCCAGCAGAAAAATCCGTTCAAACATCATTTTCGGGTAAAATTAAACAATGCCTTTTGGTAATTCTCTTAGTTATACTACTTGAAACTATATGCTGGCATTTGGTTGGTTTTTGTGACAAAAAATTGGCTTTGTATGCATCTTTAAATACTTACACCCTTCATTGTAGAGGTAAGCAACTCCAAGTTTGATTAAAGCCTCTATATTGCCACTACTTGCTGACCTAAAATACATGAAAAAAAAAACATGCTTAGGAGCTTTAGATAAATGTAAATAAGGTAACTAAAACTGCATTAATATTTCAATAATGCAAAGCAATATGTTATATGTTGTGAAATTTGAACTAAATATTTTTTCCAATCATTTTGCTTTTATTCATTAAGAACATTAGTAAATGGGCAGACAACATGAAATGTTTACATGAAATGATAGTAATGCATATATTTCACCTTTCAAAATGTTTCAAGTTTGGAATGGAGGGCCAAGTTTCATCAAAGTTGATACCAGCCCAGAGTGAGGTATGAGAGTAGATGAGATCACGGAAATAAGAATGAACCTGAAAAAAAAAAAATGTACTAGTCAAAAAACTGTAACATGATATATATTTGTCTTAGTGTGAAAATGGCAATGAAAAATGAAATTCAATAAATATTCAAGTATTACCATAGAAATTCTTTCAATGTTAAATGACATAAAACTCCCCATTAAAAAAACATGCATCACTCACTGCTGCCATGTTGAGTAAGTCTTTAATATGGAGGCCTTGTAGAAGTAGTAGTAATATCTCCTCAGGAAGGGACCAGATGGTACAGTCACTCCTGGTGCGAGGTTTCTGACTAGCCATGTTCAGGGACATGGACCTCATATGTCTCTGTAGCACCAACTTGCACTTGCCAAATTCTTTCACCACTAAAAATTGAGATGGGATTTGTAATCATATATATGATATTTGTGTTCAAATTTTGTTTTTTTATTTATGTGATAAGAATATTTTAATTTTTCATTTCAATTTAAAATACATGTTTAAGTGCATAAACCCTTTATTATTTAACTTAACCAATGACAAATATTACTTTATGGATGAATTTTAACAAATTAGAAATAAATCCCAAATGTTGCCAAAAATCATCAAATTTTGTCACCCTGCCATCTGTCAACTATTGTGATACAGTTCTAAATGTTCACAGCCCGTAGGTCAGTGGGAGAATTGAATTTCAATAGTATTTGGGAAACCCTTGCTTAAATGGTTAAGATTTTTTTTTATTTTTCCAGATTGAAGCAGAGTTGTTCTCATAGTCCGACTGATGTCACACATCTTAGCAAATGGCAAGTCCACCAGAAATGGGGTAAAACAACTAAAAAAACATGATGGATTGCATTAGCTTCTATATTTGAGCTGTCAGGTGTTGTCCAGTGACATCATACTTCACAGTGCTTGATATGACCACTTGTGTCAGGGAGGACAAGATACTTACCTGGTTGCCCAGATACGACTGGAAGAATTGTGAGTGTCAGGACAGGAAATCAAATGTTGGTAAATAGTAGAAAAACTTTTTTTAACCCAAAGATATTCATTTAGTGTGAGTTTTTAAGGAAACTTTTTACATCTTTAACTGTTAATTTTGCCCAGAGAATATATTAATGAATTTATATACTAAAGCATGTGAGGGGCAGTTCATCACAAATCATTTCCTTTATTATTACATTAGTTTACCACTGTCACTATTTATACTCAATTCTTGACCTTTGTACATATTCAAAAATTCTACATTGGAAGAGGAAGATAATTATAAAACTAGTTAAGATCTGATGGATTTTACATTATTTTACCCACTCTTATTATTCTTGTTAGTGAAAGCAATTATTTTATACATATAGTTTTTTATCATTATTTTTTTAGAACCAAACCTGAACATCTTCCTTTCAAAATCAGATAAATGAGATAATTTGAACAAACAATTAATTAGTTAGTCTGACGTTTGCTTAATTAATGAGTCCACATGTTACAAAAACATTTAGATAAGAGTAAGAGATTTTCTCATTCAACAAGTGGATATAAACCTAGGTGGTTGTACCCGAGTGACCGTTTGAGTGGCGGTTGGTAACGGAAAATGAGTTGGAAAACTGTTCATGTTAAAGAATACTACAAATTAGACCACCTACTTCAAATAGGGCAAATCTATTTAAATATATCCATCTGATAATCCTTAAACGGCGAAGAACACGTAAGGGCTAAATAATTTCCAAAGTCAAATCAGCCGCCATAGATTAAGAGTAGACAAATGCCGCAATGGGAATTCCCTCATGTATTACTTGATAATAAAGTAGAAAATAATTGTCCCTACTGTTTTCCATTAAAATACATTTACCTACCCTTCATCCCTTCTCCTGAGTTATATTTGCTTCAAATTCATGAGAGAAAAGAACTAAATTGCAAAAACTACACGACGGTTGTACCTACTACACAGTTTACTATAAGCGGTTGTCCTCGAGATCTGATTGGCCACCTACAGCTCTCTAACCTGAACGAGACTGAGCGAGACCCAAGCCTTCCCAGGGATCTCNATTTTCATCGTTTTCAATCACAGACAATTAAATCATTCAAATAAAGTGTTTCCCACACATTTCATACTTTTCAACTATCTAAGACAGTTAAATATACGTAGGCCTACTTTAATACTAAGCATATTTGTATTACTTTACAAATACGTTGTTGGATTATGTTTATTATCCATTTTGTCTTTACCATACATGTATTATGTACGTGTAGCTTACAGAAAGGCTTTTCTGCATTTTTTGTAAAAACATGCCCATTGAATTTTCCGATTCTCTTGTCATTGAGTTCAGAAATAACTTTTTATTTCGCCGATAACGCGTTCAACAAGAGCCGATGTACTTTCTTCTTCGTATGTCTCTGTTGATCTTGATAATATGAGCCCCGTTTGTACAAATCAGTAATACTTATACGGGACTGAATACATAATAATAAAAATTTTATTAACGTCTCACGTTAAAAAAAAAATAGAACCCACCCTGCTAAGGGTTATTAGAGACTAAAACCTGTGATGGGCCTACAACATTTAAAATGATCACTTATCAATAAAACACAAACAAAACGGATATTACATACAAAACTTTTCAAACCTTCTCTTTGTTGTTACACAAAAAGTCATGAAAGTTCTTGAATTTTTTGTAAGTAGAATCCCCGTGTAAAACTTCAAAGCTTTTACTTTCTTTTTCCATAATCTCATGCTTGAAGTCTTTTCTTAATTTTTAGGCCCCGGCCTATTCTTCAATTTTGTCTTCAAATCTTTATGTTTTTTTTTTCTCGCATTTTTTACCCCGGACTTCTACTTGCCGATAGTTCGTTATATCCGTTGTTTAACTAAGCATTTCTGTTTTTTATTAAAGCACAGTTGATCTCCTAATATTAGGCCCTATAGTTTTCTTCCCGCCTTCGAAATGTTCAGCGCAAACGCGGTGCCCTGCTTTTGATCCAAACTTGCTATATTTTCCTGTCTTTCTACCATATTTTTCATTCTAACGGGTTTGTTGGGAACTTATTAAACCTCATGTGTCGATCTCGCTTACTGTTATTTTAGTAGCGGGACAAAAAGCACGTAAACCCAGCCATGGTTTTAAGCACCGCTGTAAGTGTTTTGGCGTAGCAGGGCTCCCCTACCCACAATGCAATTTCCATTTCCGGAAAAGATGAAAAAGGCTAATAGTGAGGTATATTGCGTACATAAACCGGACCTGTGCATATACATTTACATATACATATGGGGTCTTGGGTTAAACAATCAATCTTTCCATTTGCAGGCTGGATTCAACGCTGGTGACGGTAAGCGTTATTTCAGCGTTCCAGGCTCGCGGACAGCCGCCATCATAGACGTGGAGAACACCACGAACGTTGGTGTACCGGGACGCTGGGTGTTTCAGGTAGACAAGGCGGAGGTCACTGCTGCGGGGGACTGTAGTAGTAGTAGCAGGGGTACGTTAACTGACAAGCCAGGCTTTAAAGGGATAATAACTGTTCATTTTGGCAAAAAAATTAATTTTCCTGGAGTAAACAACAATTTTCCCATGCTTACCAATGGTTAATGAATCCATTTTTACATTCAAAGTTAGTCCCTGTTTTTTTTCTAAAAAGTTAAGCTTTTTGTTAAAATCTCTTAAGAGATTTTAACAGAGTATAGCCATCAATGGAGGTCACGTGGTCTAAAGACATGCTCAGATATCAGAAAAATAGCTATAACTGCTGTTTTTGTGATAAAACTGAATATATTATATTTCTATGAGTTATTCACAATGTTTTTATTGTGAAATATAGATCTCATACGAAGAGTTATTATCACTTTAACTGTTTGATTCTGACTGTAAGGGCTTCAATTTCTTTTTTTTTTTAATATCATATCTGTATCAACCTTGAACATAAAAACAGACTATAACATATACCTAATAAATGCATACAGCTTCAGCCACACAAAGATATGCTGCTGGTATAGGGCCTACTCGGTAAGTTCTGTGGTAACGCCGTGTAAGTAAGGCTCGGCGAAGCAGTATGGCTCAGGTTTTTTTTTTTTTTTTTTTTTTTTTTTTGTAAGTGAAACCACAATATTTCAATGAACTATTACAGGAGGTCTTGTGGTTTCCCCAATCCAGGGTCTGATATACGGTGGAACCGAGGTCTTTATGTCAGGTCCTTGCTTCAATGAAACCGATGACCTTCTATGCAAATTTGGAGGTCAAGTGGTTCCCGGATACTACATCAGCGAATTGCGCGCGAAGTGCTACGCTCCGCCGTTGTTCAATAAAGAGCGCGTCAGCTTCCAACTGTCCACTGACGCTGGGAAGTCTTTTAGATATAGAGCGTTTTTCATTCCAAGTAAGACGCATGGGTTTGAATGAATTATTTCCGAAGGATTCTAAATCAAATTAACGTTTATTAAAAAGCATTCAATGATTGGAATAAGCCATACATGTAGTGAATGTGGACAGAATTTTTACATTGTATTTTCTTATCGTGAATGTCGAACATTTACGCAATAAAAGTATTTATGCGTTCACTTGTACTCACATCCGTTTCATAAGCAACTTTTCTCGTTAATCAAAGACCCATCTCGAAAATTTAGAACATAACCATACTAAAAATTGCCTTTGTGTTAAATAACATCTACTAGTGTCTCACATGTCAAGTTGAGCACGTGGCTTTTTCCTTCCCCAGCGTACCATTATGACGTAGCATATGACGTAGAGCGCGCTAACAGAGCGGCCTGGGATAACGGCGGTCCATACGTCATTAGGTGGGAAGTTGAGAAGCTGAATACATCGCTGGTTGATATCGACCTTTTAGCCATAAGTAACGATGACAATGGACAGGTTGAATTACACTGGATCCCTGTGACGAGAGGGATGGCAAACTCCGGTACTGCTCGTCTTGGGCAGTTGATACAAGTGGCGCCCCTGGCGGCATTAAGTGGTGCCATCCGTGTGTCGTCTGCTGGATCCGCTGTGGAGGAAAAGAACACGTGAGATTTTTTAAACAGTTGAAAACTATTTATAGTGATTCATGGAATATGTAAATGTGCACCTTTTTATACAATAATTTCTACTTTTTACTTTCTAAACTACGTGAACACAGCCAGCCTACTGTTGTATTATAATGGTGGTGTTTCAAAATTATGGCTGCTTGCAATAACAACATTTGGTAAGAACATAATTAAATAATGTAATTACGTAAATAAATACTGGTCCCAAATTTATGATTGATAAATGTTTTAAAACCATTGACTGAGATCCGTGTATGACGTAAGACCATACCAAATGAATGACGTCACGCTGTCATGTTAAACATGATGGCGATAAAGTTTGCTATTTTACATGTATCTTCAGATTCTGACACTGTCATTTTTTCTTTGAAACCCCAAGATCTCCAGTCCTGTGGTCGGACCTTCATACCTTGGAATGGTACGCGCATGCGTACATTACAGCCGCCTTGCTTGGACAAACGAAAAACGCGGAACATACATCTTTCTTAGATGACGTCATTCCTGACCTCAGAGACCGTCTGCGATCAACGCCCAAGAATTGGGAAGCCATCATATCAGCATTGAAAGTTTACCGAAAAGACATTGCTGTTTCTGTCTGCAGATCTTGGTTTGACAAAGATAGAGGCGTCCCGTTGCCTGGAGACCTCCCACCATGCCCCTGTACGCTCCAGCAGGCACTGAGAGATAGAGGGCGCTATGGTCCAGACCCTACTTGTTACCAGGGGTCGTCCTATGCATATAATTGTGAGCTGAACCCTGGCGCCGAGCACTGCGTTATATCAAGTGGTTGTAGGTGAGTGTGGGTTTTTGTTTGATTCCTGTAATGTCATAAATGTTTAAAGTGATGTGAAAACATAGGAGTAGTAGGGCCTAATATATAATGTAACTGTTTAAAACTACCGTCAGGTTTAGAGTAATGCATTTGATAATTTGTGTTTCGTTTGATTCCCGTTCTTGTTTTACAAACATTTACAAGAAAACGTGAGCTGCAATGGCTACTGTTCTAAATATTAAAACTATTTTCATCATGGTTGGGATAATTTTTAGCCAATCAGGAGGAGCCACGCAGTGTTGCTATGGCGGAAAAGGTCGACTTCTCAATGTAGCCGACTGGGAGATCGGAGGCGGGACCTTAGACCGAGCCCATATGACATGTTCACATCCCCACCAAGCCCCTTACGTGTCTCACTTTGCGAATGATATGGCGCCCCAGCATTTCTGTTGTCTGTGGTCCAAAAGCCCGGATCTCTGCAGGAGCACTTACTACCGCCGGAGACCGTCACGTGACTGCAAGGGCTATGTGCCGCCAAGAATAGGTATGCAGGGGCCAAGGCTATAGATCAGATCTTTTACCTTCTTTTACCTGGCCTTGCGTGAAAACCTTACACAGAATTATCGAGTTAAAATATCCATGGACTCAATTTAAGCCAACAATTACATGTAGCAGTAACAAAAATATTCATGGCTAGTAATTCATGACTATAGTCGCTCGGAGGGTACATCTACATAACATTTACTGTTATTTTTCAATGCGAAAACTACTCAGAGATACATGCAGCTAGGTCACGCTTAATATTTCTCCCTCAACAGAAGGCACTGAACGCAATTATCAAACACACAAAACAAAAATTCGAATTTGTTTGAAATCGGCCTTTTTATGTTGGATACTAGTTTAAAAGCAAAAGGTGATATGCAAAGTTATAAAGTGGGGTGTTCGAAGTCCTGACGGATATATTTGACTTTCCATTTTAAATTGTCGATTTCACTTTCAGTTGGCGCCTTTGGTGATCTTCACATGATGACTTTGGACGGTACCTTCTACACCTTTAACGGGTTGGGAGAATACGTCATTATGGAAACAAAGGACAAGCGTTTTGTGATACAAGGACGCACTCAACAAATACCAACTTCTAGAGGTACGGCAAATATTATATTAATTAATTAATACATTTGTTTGACCTTCTTCTGTAATGGTCTGTAGTGGCATTGTAGGAGAAAAAAATGGATTCTATATCACCAGTTATCAAAGTGGCAACGCTAATGGGGGCTTAAGCAAAGGAGTTAAAACGTGTACAACAAAATCTAGAGATCGACATCCATAACACTTTCTTTAAATTGCATCCCGTAAAACATGTATTTTTCAAGCAGGAATCATGACACGAGCGACAGCTTTGACGTCATTTGCTGTGACGTCAGGTGACGACCACGTGATTGAAGTGAACACGACTGACCGAAGACCCATCGATGTTTTGGTGGACAGTAAGAGAGTTGAATACAATGATTTAGACCTGGATTTTATGACTGGTACGTCTTGTCCATATGCGGTATAACTGTCAGCGTCTGTACGGGTTTATCAGAAGTGCAAATTGTACATAAACTTTTAAAGTCTGTCGAAATTGCACCGCCGTCATTCGTTTCTTTTTTTTACCAAAATTGCACAACAGGGACACAATTGATGAGCTCTGTAACAGGCACACAGTGGAAATAGGTCTCAGCGTACTTAGGCCAAATTATAACGTTGGCTCTTCTTACTCGCGTAAAAGAACGATATGTTCGAGATAACCAGGGTTGTTTTAAAGATGGTTTCATAACGAGATAACAGTCTAAGGTAGTGAGCGAGGGAAAGACAGCCAATTATATGTGAACTAAACCATGTAAATTGCTGTACTAGTATATGTAAGTTCATTTTAGGTTTTTTTTTCGCACTAGGTGTTTTATTTCATACACAGAACACTACATCATTGGGGATCAGTCTGCAGCAGTTGGGCGTGTACTTGGAGGTACAGTCAGCGGCTGGTTTCCTCAATCTGAAGCTCTTCTTGCCAGCCACATTTAAAGGTAACTTTGCACTGGTTTATGTCTCTGGCTAGAAGAATCAGTTAGGCATAAAGATGTACCAAGGCCGTTTTTTTTAGCAATGTGACTTAAAAGCAGAACCGCGTACTACGGTACTGATTCGGCATCTAATATTTTGTTCTTAAATATTGCTATATTGCCATTTTCTGATAATATTTTAAGAGAAACATTTTATTCGCTTTTTTCCTCATAAGAAAATGGACATGTAAGTAAGAACTTGGTCTTGTGGCGTGAGAATCTTCAAGGGGAAAATCTTTGTCAAATGGTACACGTGTCCTGAGTGTTTTAATAAATTTATCTTGTATACTGCTGCACTCTTCAAGGTGAGACTCAGGGATTGGTTGGAACCTGGAATGACGACCCTGATGATGACTTTATGACTAGGAGTGGTACAGTGGTGCCATCTAACGCCACAAACAGAAACATCCATGTGGACTTTGGAGAGACATGTAGGTCGGATTCACGGCAGTGAAGGGGAATGTCAAATAACTCTTTGAAGTGTATTAGTTCCATGATCAGATAATTCCGGATAGATTGAGTTGCCGTTTGGCTGAAGATAAATAACTAAGCGCGTTTAAAAAAGGGCAAGAAGATGAATGCGTGTTAGTTAAACACTAAAATGAATTTTTAACGCAACACATTATACTTAGGGGTATGGCTTGTCAAAACAAATAAAACTTCAAATCGTGCTTTCCGGCAGATATGAAAATATTCAAATTGTCACAAACTCTTTTGAAAGAAATGAGCGACGACGCCATTTTTTTCCATTTTCCAGGGAGGACGGACGACAACACCAGTTTATTCACCTATTACAACGGCACGAGTCACGCGGATTACCAGGACGTGAACTTTGAGCCGCTGTATGAAATACCGTTTGATTTTCGGTCCAATGAGACCCGCCAGAGGGCGACACAAGTCTGCGGCACAATCAAGCAGTGTCTGTTTGACTTTTTGATGACCGAGAGAGAGGACATTGCCATAGCAACCCGGAAATTTGTGCTCGGGATTGAAAAAGCTGTGAATGATACCAAGCCGAGTGAGTTGCACGATATATTGAGATCTTTTCATGATCAGCCTTGACACTATTTTTTTAAACTTTTTGTAACTCATACTGCACAGCACCGACTTTATACAATACTGCAGTAACTGTCCCCACTCGCTACTGCCATTGCACTTTATTTTAGTATTAATTCAGTTCTAGGCCTAACTGATATCTTTGACCAACATGTGGTATAGTAAAAATGATAGGTAATACACGAAAGGAGTAGGCCTACTCACAAAAATTGTATTTTTAGATGGTCGTTTTAATTCCTACAGCAGAAGTTAATATCGAGAAGATTTGTATGAAAGTTTCTCTCATCAAAGTTATAGAAGCCCGATGATTGTTATCACAGCTCATATGTTATCAGGATTTTGCACCGTTGTAGTGCATGTAGTTATCATAATCAAAACAACAGGTAGTCAATACTTCATTCCCAACTATTTTTTTTTCAGTTGTGACTTGCGGATATCTAGCGACGCCGCTGAACGGGACAAAACACTTCACAGGCTATTTCGCAGGCAATGAGGTGACCTTCAGATGTGATGAAGGTCACACGTTGGTGGGCTCTTCAGTAAGGCGGTGTCTGATTGGTGGAGGGTGGGACGGTAAAAAAACACAGTGCAGAGCATCAGGTTTGTCTTGTCAGGATCTGTTCACAAGCAACCTGATCCACGGACTAATTGAGCCGGGGTTTAAATATGGCGGGCACTTGAAAGCATGCCGCATAAACCCATAATGGTTCCCCCTCCTCCCCCGCGTGCCGTCCCTGCAGACAATAAAATCTCGGCAAGTTTTCAAGTGGATCTCGCCATATTTGAATCGAGGCTCAGTTAGTCCGCTGATCAACTTGGTTGTCAGCAGAACCTTAGATAACTTTAATGCAAAATCCATTGTACATAATAACGTTGTTCAAGCAGGGGGTCCTCGGATTTCAATGGACAATGGAAACTCGCCATACCATACTTTTCTGCTAGGGACCGACCGGGTGATGACGTTACGCATTTATAGTATGCAAAATCTAACGCTGTAGAGCGCAGTAGTGTGTTCAGAGTACTAGTGGCCAGAGAATGTCTGTGAATATCTAGGGTTGAAGTTAATACCGTGGCTCTGTACGTGGTACTACAGCTTATCAGCATACATGCACCATTTTCAGTCGAGCACCTGCTTATATACTAGGTAGTGGAAACAGCATGCTGACCATGCAGTATATAGGTGTGGGGAGAGGGGGTTTCAGTGTTCTCTGAAACTTTGGCTGAGTGAGCGTTGATTAAGCGGAAGTTTTTATACCACGTTAAAGTAAACTCCAGGGTGTGTTCAGAATAGATGTTTACGTACTAGCAAGGTCAATATATATCGATCTCTGTGGGGATTCTCGCTAAGGCGCAGTCAATGTTATAAGGTCAATTGTCTGGTCCAAGGCCCACCCGTTTGTTGTATTGGTCAAAGTGGATAAAACGTTTAGATATTGTTAAATGTAGGCCTACGTTTTTTTACATAAGTAGGAAAATATATAAGCGAGCAGCTACTGTAGGCCTACAGATTTGTTTTTAAAAAGTAGAAGCACCTTGTTTATTTTAGTTTTAAGTGAAACAAATTGCTCGTCTGACAAGTAGTTCATTTACTTTAGCTTAAATTCAAATTTATCTATTATTTCAGGTACCACACGGCTTTCATATGATGGTTTTCTCTTCATTCCTGTTTTGTCGCTTGTTGTGACAACATACATGGTGCTATGAACTATGGGATATCACGTTTCTATAGCAACAGGATATGCAGAACGGAGCAGTGACGTACACTAAACTTGAATAAAACCATGAGCCTGACTTGTTACATTCTACAGCAATATATTGTTACATAGCTTGTGAAAAAACACGCAATTTTAATGTTTATTTTCAAAATAGGAGTTTTAACATTAAAATGTGTAAAATAAATGAATCACTACGCTACTTTATGCTTGCTTTCTTTTACAAACCATTTCTCTTTAGTGCTGTGCTGTGAACCCACATTCACAGAGAGCAAACTGGAAGGGCCAGGTATGGGGGAGGGGTTATAAACATGTAGGGTAAAGGTGGGATCTGATCTCATTAATCTCTCATGTACCAGTGGCCAGTTTTTTCCCACTGCTTGATTCGTAACGCTCAAGACAGAGACGTATGGTAAACATTAACCCTTCACCATTAAACCCTTAAAATGCTCATTTCAAATATATATTAAATTGTGAGCACAGAAAATCCATTCTGCCCAGTACGCCCTCAACATGCAGGCTTCCAAGAGAAAATGTTCATACATGAAATGTAAAACAAATATAAACTAGACCCATTTCTATTACGTATATAGAGACTTTTAAAAATCCAGGTGTGACCTTCCTTCCTGAACGCTTAGCGTTGAAGGAACACAGCTCTTAATGCTGCATGCCTTGAATTCTCACGTGGATCACGTGACATGTACGTCCCTTTGTCATGTACAGCTGCGACCACACAAAGGTTCCATTGTCAAGACGTAATGTCATTGCCGATGCGTGTCTTTCAGTCAAGCAATTCAATTGACTAAGTTCACTTTGGGTCAACCTAGCAATACCGTGTTAATATTAGGCGAATATCGCTCAAAATCACCTAAGTTTGATAACTGAAATATTAGCAATGAACAGATTATTGTATATGATATAAGAGCTTGATGTTAAGATAGAAATATTACTGGATCAAAGTAATCGCTTTTGGAAATATACACGGAGGGTGCGAAACTGAAAATATTTTATGACGCAGCACTATTTTTGTCAACAACATCACCTGATATTTTTCGACGGGCGCCATCTTATACGCCTTACCTAGGAAAAATCTTGACGAAAATTCAAGGACAAACGTCATTTTTAAGACTGAATATAAAATATGACTTGACTTTAGTATGTGAACTGTACTTGGCAGCCTGCAAACGTTGGTTTTATCTGCGCAGTAGAGACGATCTTGACTTGATGAAGTTTTTTTCGAGAATTGGGTGTGAAATCGGCCGCTGAACGTTTGTTATTTTAAAGGTACAGTATGAGGCTTATACCTTATATCTAGGATGAGGCTTACTACTACATCTATTTTCAAAGATAATTCAAATATTTTTCATCTTACAAAACAAGTTTCAATTTATTTATAGCCACCATAGAAAAGTAGGGCCTACATGTACTGTACCATGCCATAAAAAATTAAGATCCTTTTCGAGTAAACTTTTTTCACCTTTTATACTATCTATAAGTTAATTATTTATACTGTAATAATCATAACTGTTTTACATCTCCGCCCCAACAGAACTAGAAAACACGGTCTTGAGATTTAAAACTGGTCTGAGGCAGGTCATTTTATTATGATGCTGAAATGATGTTTCTTAGATTATCTTCTGAAAATAAGTGTTGCCTACATTATTAAAGGTACATACGAACCGAGCATCGGTGGAGCGTGGATTCCCAGTAACACATGTAAACCACTTCTACTAGATTCTTATATGACTCAAATAAATTTGACATGCCAAGGGATAAACTGAATAGATCACTCGATCAGCCATAAAAGACCTTTAGACTGCTCCTTTCTTTAAATTTATGGTTGTAAATTTAACCTACATTCGTGACCTACTTTCCTGCCCCATTGACATACAGCTTAGAATGCCTGCAGAAAAATCCGTTCAAACATCATTTTCGGGTAAAATTAAACAATGTCTTTTGGTAATTCTCTTAGTTATACTACTTGAAACTATATGCTGGCATTTGGTTGGTTTTTGTGACAAAAAATTGACTTTGTATGCATCTTTAACCTAAATGGGTCTGCAATTAAATTACTGCTCTACAAAATGTAAATAGTGTTCTTTTTTGCCACTTGTGAAATAATTCGCCACACCCATAATTTGGTAGTCAAAGGAAGTTTCAATAGAGCAGACCCCCCTCTACCGCGAATTGGTCTGAATGCCTCTGACTCCTTCAGATATGACGTCATTGTGAACTGCGCTTTGGTAGTACTTCGTCCTCTAGACTTACATTGTGTGATCCACTTTTATATCCCATGCAATGGAGAGCTTAAAAATATAAGATTCAATGATTCAAATATTATGAGAATTTGCATTCACTTATACAAAACTGTAATACGTGTAATAAGAAATAAATCATATTTGTGTTATAATCTCGTTTTTGATAATAAAATTGGCAACTAAATCTTAGTGCTAATATGTTTTTTTTTTCTCATTGGAATTCTGTGGTTTATTCTGAAAGTTTATTCTCTTTAGCTCTGATATCATTCAATATTTCTTCGATTTATGAAATATTTTTATACGTAGTTATGTGTTTTATATGTAATTTGATCACCTGAGTGTAGAAAAATCACATCACTTCAGCGTGTTGTTACATGTGTGTATTCCTTAATTCTTGTGATTATTCTCTGCATACATTGTATCTGTGTCTGTTTCCGATTATGTTCAGCTTGGTCTACAGGTCAACTTTTAACCCTAATACCTTCAATATTTCGATGTTTTTAGAGCATTTCCATTAGGGAATGAGGTGAATAGCCTCTATCCAGGAGTTTCTTATCCCCCACCTACTGTCTTAATAAAAGGCTAGTATACATGTAGGTCAGGGAGGATGGCCACATCATTTCTGTTGAGACTGGTCAATGTCTTCTTGGTGTGTATGGCCTCCAGGATTTCTGTTGTGTTTTCACTGTCGATCACCTTGATTTTTTTCAATTATTGGACCGTGATGCTTTGTGTCCAGATTATTCCCTATGTTGAGTTATTGCTGACTTGCTGTCTCTTTTGATGACTGATTTATGGTGTTCTGCTATCTCTCAGCCACTGAGTTTTTTACCCATGTATGTATTAAAAATGTGACTCATGGTGCAGTTAGAATACACTTCGAATGCCATTCAATATTTGTCCACTTGGAATGCACTTCGAAAGTTTTGAGCATGAACAAAACATTCGGACGGGACGCAAAAATGGGCCCATACATTTGGAATGTGCTTAGAATATCCAGGAGTAAACAAGGAATTTTCATTCCAACGACATTCTAGCTCACTCTGCCTGTAGTGTGACTAGGGTATAAATGAAAACATAAAGGATATTGTCACCCTTCGCCCCAAACTCCTTATTTACTGCCTTACATACATTATTCTGGGTAACAAATAAATCTTCGGTGTTCAGTGATTATATTTTAAAATTAACATTTACACGTGCCATCTTACTGGTGACGGCAAATTGGTGATTTGGGGGTAAAACTGTTTTACCTGAACACCAATGATTACTGTTTCAATGCCAATTTAATGACACCGTTTAGTACTCCAAAACCTTGCCAGCGATTTTTCTTAAAAGTCTAAATTTAGATTTTATCGTTAATAAAGCAAAATGATAGGCCTACCTTAATTTGTTTAATGAAAATCTGTAATTTGGGAGGCGAGATCGCTTACACAGATTGTAATGACTATTTGTAATATGCATGTAATGCACATAATTGTAAAGTCTACTGAACATATCTATATGGAATTTAGGCTTAAAATAAATATATTATGATATAATTTAAGCTCATAACTCCATAACCAAAATGCTGGTTCGGGATTGTAGCTCATGCTCGTTGCTGTCCACTATGCTAATTTTCGTGATAAATTCTTGTTTACGGATTAAGTTACGACCCATACCTATTGTAATCTCACCTCAAAAAAGAAAGGTGTTATATGACGGTTTTGGAGACAGATCTCTGTTTTGAGCCTCTTAAATGACCTTTCTCCTTGAACTTCGTCAGGATTTGCTCTACGAAGGTGAAAAAAATGGTGATTTTTTGACATTGCTGAGTCATAAAATATTTACCTTAAATAGTGCTGAGTCACTAAATATTTTCAGTGTTGCGCGTCTGGTTTTTCCTTAGATCGGTAAATGTGATCTTCCACAGCTACAACATTTATTCACCTACACATTCCTTACTACGTCTTGTTCAGTGACCCTAGGTAAACTTATTGAATGGAGCAGTTGATTAAAAAGCACAGAGCTGTCACGACATAGACATAATGTCTTTTAAAAGAAAAACCTTAGTGTCGTTGATAATGTATTCGATGTAGCTACAGGTGCGAAAAAATGTGCATCAGTGCGCCTGGAAGCCGCTTTTTTGGTATTAGTATGTTATATTAGCACGTGCAAAGATTACCACTTAAAGAAATACTGGGGCATGTTCGAAACTAAAGTCATAATAAAAAATGAACTTTGTGATTTTCATTATTACTCCAGTAAACGATATCAACTTTAAAATTGGAGACTGCAGATAGAGGGTAATAATGGGGGCAGCAATATAACATTCTCTGAAAGATTAAAAAACATGTCTGGAAATATAATCCCATTTAATGTTTTTATGACTGCGGGAAGGGGGGGGGGGAGAGAGAGAAAGGGGAGTGGAGGTGCTATCAGTATAAATAGTCCGATATAATGACTGAAGGTGGAATTTCCACCACAACAATGTAAGACTGATGTTAAACCCGTTGTCAGGAAAACAACAGCGCATTTGCATATGTTCTGAATGTCTCCTTTATTATTTTCGAAAGTTTAAGATTTTCCACTGAATAAAGATCAGTTTTTAGATTATCACAGTACATAAACGTAATAGTAACTAATACAATAGAGAGCCTTCGCACCTGTACGTTTAGGCGGACGACTACGTTTAGCTATCCGTAAAATGACCAACGTTTATTTTTTCGTGATTTCGCAGAAAGACCCGGTTAGCCTT